CTCCCTTCCTCCACCAGGAGGCGCCTGGTTCTGGCCCGCCTCCTCACACACCTGCTGATGGTTATCTCGTTAACAGAGTGCTCTTAAGCTGCTGACTGCCACTACTTCGACGCCAGTGTGTTTCCCAGTTTTGGGTACTCTAACCAAGCTGAGCTTTGCTGAGTCAAACTGAGTTCTTGTCATTCTGAGTTTTAACATTGTTTTGTCTCTGCCTCTCGGCAGGAAGTCATCCTGCAAACTGGATTTTTCGGACCTTCTCTCCCTGGAAGGATCAACTGAGCTACAAACTGAGCTGAGGAAACAAACAGAAGGTTTGGATCCACTTTCCCCAAGAGATCGTTTGAGCTTCACACTGAGAAAGGGATTCATCTCCACTACGACCCGTTCAAGTACCGCAGGAAATCTGAGTGGCAGTCAGTTTCTCTGTTCACCTACAAAAAATCGCATTCTGGGTAAACCCTGTTCCGCCCTCCACCGAGTCAGACCTACATTGGAACTACAGCATACAGACTGGAGTGAAGGATTCAACAACTTCTCTGGAAACGTGAGTCAGCAACCAAATCCTCTTCTCCAAGTTCACGGGTCAAATTTCCCACTGAGCCTGAACTAACCACTGTGTCTTCCCCTCACTTTTCAGTTCCGGTTGAGCAGTGTTCAGAGCAACACTTCTCTCTGCATTATCTATTCAAAAAAAACTGTTTAACCTTTTCCCTGGTCTCCCTGTTTGGTCTTCTGCATTTGGGTCTGAACTTTAGTAAAATCATGACACTCTGGAGGGAGGTAAAGTTGTAGGTCTACATTTTAGAAAAAACCACTCATCAGTTTGAATCCCATTTAGTATTCACATTTTTGCTACCTCCAACAATTTCTGCCATGAATGTGTTATAATATGTTTTGGTCTCTAAAAAATAAATGTTAAGCACCTAGAATTCATTCTTTAGTTTGTGAAATTGGTCTGAGTTTTAAACTAGTTATCCCTGACTTCCTATTTCCCTTTAGGGATACAGCTATTCATTATTTTAGTATTTGATCATTTTTTGATCAATTTAAAATGAGATACTTTTAGTAAATTAGCATTTTTTTTTAAATAAACAAATATTTGGGTTTGGAAAATAAGATGACATATTTTAAATGGATTGCAAACGACAAAAAATGTATAATAAAAAAAAAAGGATGGTGAAAAAAGAGCTTTAACAAGAACTTATTTGCAAAGGTTTTGCGAAGTTCCTCCTGCTGCAACATTTGCAGCTGTAACGCTGTAAAAAAGGAGAAGATTCCTTACAGAATATGAATCAAGAACAAGCTGATGCACATCGATGATGCGATTTAAGGAGTCCAGATTATGTCTAGAAGCCTTATTTCACAACCAAGATTGAGACATGGCAAGAAAGCATTTTTTTCCTAACCTCTCAAATGTGGAGTCTGATTAACTCTACCAGCCATTAATCTGAAACTACTCGTATTAAAAAGCACTATAATTAATCTTTATAAATATTGGAAACCACCTCATGCACACTGTTAATTACAGTGGAGGATCCGTGATGCATGTTTTCCTTTGAAAGGCTCTGGAACCAAGTTAAAACCATTTTATGTAATACCATTTTAAGAAGAACATTTTCAGTTCAGATCAGGTGATCTCTGCTGGAGAGTGAAAACTGGATCGCTCTCCCCTGAGTCTTTCAGCAGGATAATGACCCTGCATATTAAGCCAACTCAACACAGACATGGTTCAGTAGACACAGACAATGTTTGTGTGTGTGTGTGTGTTGGCACTTTTAGCGTCTCGATTTTTACAGACTTTGAGCAAAACCCTTCTCATGCCAAAACCAAATGACTGCTCATTTGTCAATCAAGCCCCGATGAGCCATGTTGTCTGGCCGGGCCTTAAGGTCAAATACTGCACATACCAGGTGCAGCTTTAGAAGTGACTCTGACATTAAACAGAAGCCAGTCATCAAGCCGAGCTCATCCGGCACACATCCAGACAGCAGTGAAACAGAGTCTGCCTGCTGCCTCCAGGACTGAGCCTCCTGGACCTGCTGCTAACCTCAAACACAAGAGTCTGAACGATGCAGGAACATGAGCTCATGTCGTAGACGCCGGAGTTGCCTCACATGATCGCGAAGCGTGGCGGATCTGCTCTGAGTAACACAGAGCAGGGAAGCGTTAACATCTGTTTCTGATACCGAACGAGGCCCGAGGCGTGGATGGATGTGTCATAACGCCGCCTCAGACCTGCACCGTACGGATATTTTGGTAACTATAGCAGACACTGCAGGAGGCAGGATTACCCTGGAGCCGGATGCTTAAGCTGAATACCAGGGAGAGGTGACTTCTGAATGAATCATCCCATCCAGACCTCACACTTAATAGCAGACTTTCTGCCGTACATTTCAATGAGCAAAAGGGAGCAGAAAGAAGATACAAATTTTATTGTTTTTTTGCTCTTAACAAAAAAAACTAAATAATCTTTGCTAAGCAACTTAAAGCCAAAATTAGGCAATACCATATAAAATGCTAAAAGTTAAATGGCCTATACTTATATAGCCCTTTTTCAAGTCAGGAGACTTGACCAAAGCGCTTAACATTACATTCAGTGATTCAGGCACACACTGATGGTGGCGCGCTACATTGTAGCCACAGCTGCAAGGCGCCGGGCCCTCTGACCACCATCAGTAGGCAATGCAGGTGAAGTGTCTTGCCCAAGGACACCCATCAGGTGTCTGTGTGAAGTTTGTTTCTTTATTTCAGACATACAAGTATATAATAAAGACAGTATATAACTTAAATTAAAACAGTCTGAGAAAGGGTGTATTGGCAGACGCAAGAAGCTTACAATGCCCACCCTCCAAAGCCAATTTACATTGGACAAGAAAGCAAAAGAAAAAAAGATAAATAGATAGATGGCTTCTGTTTATAATACATGTGTATCTGGCAGGGCTTGAACCGACAACTCTCCGACTGCAGGGCAAACTGCTGCACCCAACGCCACTGTCACCCCTTGGTAATTGAACAAATATCTATGTTCAATAAAATTAATAAACATGTTTAAGGAAAATCAATATATACCAATAGAATAAAATATTACATATGAGGAAAAAATTAAAATGAACCTACTGATATTAATATTTCAATGTAATTCAATTCTGCTTATTTATAAAGTTTATTTTTTTTGTATTAAATCAGTATTATATATAATAACAGATTAATATACATATTTATAATATAATTATAACTTTAACTAGAGCTTTGGCTAGTAGCTGTTGACTAGTTGAGATTAACGCATATTGGCCTTATAGGGCCGGGCTTCTATCGTGAAAATATTGTATAAATTATGATAAAAACACTCCTTATTAATTCTTAGCTGTGTAGATGTGAGCATTGCCAGAACAATCATAGCCCCACAATTACAAATACTGCTGGGAAAAAATACACACATATAGGCTTCTTCAGGACACCAGTTACATAAGGAAGTGTGATTTATACACTGGGAAAAAAATCTAACCTAGATAACTAATTTTTTCTTAAAATAAGTGCATTTGTTCTTGGATTGAGGAGGTAAAAGATACATTTTGCCAACGGAACAAGACAATTTACATTTAAAATAAGAAAAAAACAACTGCATTGTCTTACTCCAAGTGCATATTATCTAATTATCTTATTTTAAGAGTAAAAATACTCATTCCTTTGGCAAACTATATCATTTACCTATTCAAATTAAGGGTAAATAACCTTAATTTAAGAACTTTTTACTTATTTCTGAATAATTTTTCCAGTGTACCACTAAAATATTCCATATAAAACTGTATTTAATTATATAAAAAGAAATGCAAAATGTCCCAATAGAAAATAGGAAATAAAAAGAAAATATGTTTTTTTTTAATTCACAATTCTAAGTTTATATGATAAATCAAAAGTGTTATCATGAGTAGAAATTTATCACGATAAGTATACGATGAACGGCCAAACCTACTGCCGTACTACGATGCTTCTGCTCTTTTTCTTTCTGAGCAGCAATTGAAAAGGAGAATTCACTTTGAATGAATCTCCTCTTATCAGTATTTATTCCACATGTTTACTTCTGGTAGAAATGTAACCCCATAATTAAAAGTGCTCTGGGGTCCTTCTACACAAATACAAGCCATTTACCTTTACTTAAATACTTTGAAAACTGCTAGACCATGACTAACTTGAAAAGTATACATACAAATTACAGATATTATTTGGTTGGAATGAACTGTGGTGCCAAAGTGATGAAAGGCTAATATTTTTTAAAAATCAAAATCTTTTTTCAGCTGAATAATTAACTAAATAATAAATAATGCACTAAATTCAAAGGTTGGGTATTTGATCTATGCAATAAAATACTTTACAAATAATCATCATTTATAAAAGGTAAAGGGAAAAATTATTAATGATTAACAGATAATTAAGGTTTCATAATTGTTTATAAACTGCCTCTAAACCATTTATAAAGGATATAGATCATATTGCCCCACCCTGCTAGTTTAGCTCTCATCTAAACATCAGTAAGCTTAATATCTTAATAATTTATCTCTTTTATAAGTGCTTTAGAGTCCCTTTATAAACAATTGTAAAACATAAATTATCTGTTATTTATTAATAAATGCTCTCTATTATTTATAAAAGATGGTTATTGTAAAGGGTAACCATTACGTTTTCATATAGTTGGGGATTAAATCAGTCAAAGGAACATTTATTATTTAGTTTTCGTAATGAAGATTAAAGTGTGTGTGTTACGTCTGTTAGCCAATTTAGTATTCTCTAATTATTATTATTTTTTTCCTTTAAAAGATCAGATATTCAGGATATATTCAGATATTCAGACGAGCACAAACTTTAATCTTCTGCTTGGGGTCGGACAGGAAACACAGGCAGACCTCACAGACATTAACGTTTACACGTTACTTCAACATGGATGTTACATGACATGCAACACATGACGATATGCTGACGCCGCGAAGACAGCGACCACTTACCGCTTTGTCAAACTCCATCTCTGAAAAGAATTTATACCAAGGCTCATTCTCTAAATCTACATCTTCTGGACTTAAATCCTGAGTTTAGGGGCATGGCGACAGGAGGAGGAGAAAGACAAAGAGAAGACAGTTCAGACAGCACAGCAACTTAACAGCCAGTCAGACATCCTGCAGGTGACAGCAGGTACCTACTGATATATGCTTTATAAAATCACACTCTGCTTTTCTATCTTTCCTGAAATAACTTGATAATATTAGTAACATGTTTATTTTTTGCATAGAGATGAGAAGAGTGATGAAACAGGTAGCAGTAAACAAACTTCACAAAGCATTAAGACAGAGAACATACCGGTAGATCTTTTCAAGAGAAACCATGTGCTTAATATCTGGCATCCAATCTCACTACTTTATATACCCTTATATTAGGGTTGTTTAGAGTCCATATTTATCAGTGTCAATACTGATACTTTGTATCCGGACACAAAACTATTTGATATAGGTAGAAATATGACGTTTACATATTTTCCTATTGTTAATTTGGGATTTCTGGGACCTGAGTGAAGTTGGCCCCCCCACCTTCTTCAAATCCGACAAAATTATTGTCAAACGTTTGTGCAGCAAAAATTTTTCGTTTGTGCCGCTATCATTTTAAAGACATACAGGTAAAAGCCAGTAAATTAGAATATTTTGAAAAACTTGATTTCAGTAATTGCATTCAAAAGGTGTAACTTGTACATTATATTTATTCATTGCACACAGACTGATGCATTCAAATGTTTATTTCATTTAATTCTGATGATTTGAAGTGGCAACAAATGAAAATCCAAAATTCCGTGTGTCACAAAATTAGAATATTACTTAAGGCTAATACAAAAAAGGGATTTTTAGAAATGTAGGCCAACTGAAAAGTATGAAAATGAAAAATATGAGCATGTACAATACTCAATACTTGGTATGAGCTCCTTTTGCCTCAATTACTGCATTAATGCGGCGTGGCATGGAGTCGATGAGTTTCTGGCACTGCTCAGGTGTTATGAGAGCCCAGGCTGCTCTGATAGTGGCCTTCAACTCTTCTGCATTTTTGGGTCTGGCATTGTGCATCTTCCTTTTCACAATACCCCACAGATTTTCTATGGGGCTAAGGTCAGGGGAGCTGGCTGGCCAATTTAGAACAGAAATACCATGGTCCGTAAACCAGGCACGGGTAGATTTTGCGCTGTGTGCAGGCGCCAAGTCCTGTTGGAACCTGAAATCTCCATCTTCATAGAGCAGGTCAGCAGCAGGAAGCATGAAGTGCTCTAAAACTTGCTGATAGACGGCTGCGTTGACCCTGGATCTCAGGAAACAGAGTGGACCGACACCAGCAGATGACATGGGCCCCCAAACCATCACTGATGGTGGAAACTTAACACTAGACTTCAGGCAACGTGGATCCTGTGCCTCTCCTGTCTTCCTCCAGACTCTGGGACCTCCATTTCCAAAGGAAATGCAAAATTTGCTTTGGTCAGAAAACATGACTTTGGACCACTCAGCAGCAGTCCAGCTCTTTTTTTCCTTAGCCCAGGAGAGACGCTTTTCGCGCTGTTTCTTGGTCAACAGTGGTTGACACGAGGTATGCGGCAGTTGAAACCCATGTCTTTCAAGCGTCTCTTGGTGGTGGATCTTGAAGCACTGACTCCAGCAGCTGTCCACTCCTTGTGAATCTCCCCCACATTTTTGAATGGGTTTTTTTTCACAATCTTGACTAGGTGAACCCTATCGCTTGTACACTTTTTCTGACCAGAGTTTTTCCTTCCCTTTGCCTCTCTATTAATGTGTTTGGACACAGAGCTCTGAGAACAGCCAGCCTCTTCAGCAATAACCTTTTGTGTCTTTCCCTCCTTGTGCAATGTGTCGATGGTCGCCTTTTGGACAGCTGTTAAATCTGAAGTCTTCCCCATGTTTGTGTAGGCTTCACAACTGGACTGAGAGACCATTTAAAGCCCTTTGCAGGTGTTTTGAGTTAATCAGCTGATTAGTTTGTGGCACCAGGTGTCTTCAAAATTTTACCCTTACACAATATTCTAATTTTGTGACACACAGAATTTTGGATTTTAATTTGTTGCCTCTTCAAATCATCAAAATTAAATGAAATAAACATTTGAATGCATCAGTCTGTGTGCAATGAATAAATATAATGTACAAGTTACACCTTTTGAATGCAATTACTGAAATAAATCAAGTTTTTCTAAATATTTTAATTTACTGGCTTTTACCTGTAAATAAATATTTCTAGAGGTCATAAAGGGTCAACCAGTTTATATTTTTGCCATACAAAAATATACAATTTTAAATTTAATTTTAAATAGTAAATATTTCAAATAAATATATTAAAAATTTAAAAATGCATATTTTAAAATATATAAATTTTTTGTACTGCTATCATTTTAATGATATTAATAATTGTTTGTAGAAGCCATCAAAGGTCAGTGACCATTTGTTCATTCTGAAACTCTGAATTTCATATATAATATATATAAATTATAAGTTGCTAACCTTTGATTCTATCATTTTAAACTGTAAAAAAATTATAGCGGCACAAACAAAAATCTTTGCTGCACAAACGTTTGACACCATTTTTGTCTGATTTGAAGAATCAGATAAAAACTTCACTCAGATATTTCTTGGTTCTTTTACTAACATACAGGATTCTGTGTATAAAGCATGTTTCATGATGAGATGGAAAACGGTGAGTTTTTCTAAGTTAAACTTCTTCATTTCTATCCCAGTAGTATCAAAAACAGGATTGAGTAACGAAGATATTTGCAGATCTTGACATTGAGTTTAAAGTTTTATTATCGTGACAGCCCTACTTTATATGCAGCTTGAAGGTTTTGCTCCCCAAGTCATCAAGCTGAAGAACTCTTCACTTGGGGAAGGAGGAGGTGATAGGAAGAGGGTCAGGGATCAGCACCCCCCTCATTTAGGGTTGGGAATTGAAAAGATTTTCACGATTCCGATTCCCTTTTCGATTCTATGAAATGATTCGATTCTTTATCGATTCTTTTTTCGATTCCAATTTGGGGGAAAAAGGAGAACAAACAGTTTGATTATCAGAATCAACTTTGTTTACTTAACTATTGCACAATCTTACAAACTCAACAAGATCAAGATGTCCACAGGAAATGTGAAACTGGAGTAACATCTGTGTTTAAATGAAAAATAAATATACAAGAACAAACTTAATAACCAACAATGTCTAATAACAAATGATGGGATAATAACCTATTTTAAATAACAAAAAATACTAATTATAAAACAGTAGTAGGAAAAATTAACAGTTCTTTTGCAGAAAGATGAGCATATCTGCTTTTTCTGGAAGGATACAGGATCTTTCAGGGCTTATGGTGTCTCCAGCCGTGGAGAACACCCTCTCAGATGGGGTGGAGGAAGCCTGCACACAGAGGTAGTTTTCAGCCAGTCAGATAGCAAGGGCAGCGTATCTTGCTTGTTCCACCACCACAGTGTGGCGCTATCCCTGCAGGGGATGGAGGGCAAGCTTTTATAGAGCTGGATTTCCTGATCTACCCTCTGGGCTAAGGAAAGACGGGGCTTTGATTCACAAAGTGACCGCAGCTCGTTGTCTTCCTCCTCGAATAGTTCTTCCAACTTGCGTAACTTGCGTAACTTGCGTAACTTGCGTAACTTACGTAACTAACGTAAAAAACGTGACGTAAGTCGTGCTCCCCAGAGCCGGCGCTCTAGGCTCTGGTGCTGCGGGAATCGAAAAAAGAATCGTTCAGTGAGCTGCCAAACGATGCCATGGAATCGGAAAATACGGAACCGGTTCTGAACAGGAACCGGTTTTCGATTCCCATCCCTACCCTCATTTGACATCTTATGCAAAACTTTACCTCATTACACTCATGTGCATTATTCTTCTCTCACTGTGCAATAAAACACGTAACTACTGTGTAGCTTGTGTAATTTTTACTTATTTATAAGGTCAATACATTTCTGCAGTACAACTGCAATAATCCAAGTCAACTACTGTGTAGTCTTCCCTTAGCTCTCTACTGTGCAGATATTTTTATATCTAAGTGAAAAATATTCCAGGACATTAAAACTTTTTTCTTTTATGCCTTTTTGTACTATATACACTCTTTTTATATTGTCAGTCATTTTTTTTTTTAATCTTTAATGGCGTTTTGCTTTAACTCTTTGTCCTCTATAGCGGTGTTTTTCAATCCTGGTCCTAAAGGCACACTGCCCTGCATGTTTTAGATGTTTCCCAGCTTTCACACAACTGTTATCAATTGATAGCAGATTATCAGGCTTTGTTGAACTGCAATCATCTGAATCAGGTTTGCTGAACCTCAGAAACAACCAAAACATGCAGAGCAGTGTGCTTTAAGGACCAGGATTGAAAAACACTGCTCTATAGAAGCTACTGGAACCAGAGTTTCCCTGAAGGTGTCATCCCAAGGGATTAATAAAGTTGAGCCTGAGTCATAGGGCCGGATCTATCAAAGGTTTGCGTGTATAAAAATGTGAGCTATTTCACTGCGCACGCTAAAAAATGTACAAACTGATCTATCAACAGCGTGCTAAAAGGATTTGGTCTTTAAAACGTGCTAAATAGCGCCTCTTATCCATTTAGTACTTTTTCTGCAATGAATATGCAATGTGGGGCGTTTACACGCAAAAGTGCGTCTTGTGGGAGGAGAACATGTAAATATATTAATTTAGCACTCGCAAAGTGATTTATTAAACCTGAAAGCAATTTTGCTAACGGTATCTGACTCTATATTTAACATGTTTCAAAAGAAGGTGTAAATGGTCTGTATGCGTAATTGTGCACACATGGCAGCGGTTATTGTCGCAAGAAGGAGACATGGAAATGAAGCAAGGAGACGCAGAGAACGCATTTTTTCACTCCGTGTGAATATTTTTGGAATGAACGAGGAAACGATCATCAAAACATATCGTTTATCCAGCATTGCCATTTTGGAGCTGTTGGGGGAACTCCGAATGGATTTGGAGCCAGCCACAAGGAGGACCCACACAATACCAGATATCACAAAACTCCTTGCAACATTGCACTTTTTTTGCATCTGGGTCATTCCAGCGTACGGTTGCAGCGAGAGCTGGGATCTCCCAATCTCGTTTTTCAGAAGTGCTGTCCGACATTCTAAATGCCATGTCGCCCTGACGCCCTACCGGAGAACCCCGACCTCCCCCCTGCGCCTGTGGAGCAACATGCCAATGCTGCGGGGATGCGTACGCACAGTAATCTCATCCACAGTCACTTCTTGTGAGCCATTTGGTATGTGCATTTTTCTACAGGCCAATACAAAATACCTGTTTGTTTTTTTTTACTGCAGTGAAGTAGAAATTCAGCCACATACCACCTTAGGTAATAAAGGTTGCCAAAGTTTTTATATATATATATATATATATTTTTTCTTTTTTTTTTTTTTGAGGGGTTGGGGGTGTCACTGTAAGATTTAAATTTCTTAATAGACTAGCTTGTACAAACTACAAACTACTTTGCCGCAAACCACAAAATGCACAAAAAAACCATCATTTAAATAGGGCGTCTCCAACAGTTTTGCACCTGCCACCAGTTACGCAATCACTCTTGTTAAATCACCCGCAAACCATGGTTCAGCCCCTCGCGCGAAATTCCAGTTTGCGAGCGCAAATTACTGCACGCAAAATTGGATCTTGATAAATCCGGCCCTATGTCTCTAACAATAGTTTAATGTTCACCAGAACATAAATTGATCCTCTGAAAACAGAGGAGCCTGGGCCCTTTCCGTCCCAATCACTATCCTTGATTGCTAGGCTATAAAATCTAATATTAGAGTTGTGGACAAGGCCGAAGACGATTCCGATTATTTTGACATCAGTCTGTCTGGTCCTCAGTATGAGGCGCCGATATTTTTATTGTGATTTTTATAGCTGACATTATTTTTTCTTTTTTCCCTTTACACGATTAAAATGATAACAAATGTCACATAATCTAAGCTTAAACAACCCAAAACAAAAAAAATAGTAACAAATCAAACTAAACATAAACAACGGATAGAAAATGAAGGGAGTTAGCAATGGATGCGCTTCACCTGCACGGCTGCTGAACGCATTAATGCAGTGGTTCACACATTTTTCTTTTTATAAGAAAATTGTTTTGCGCCCCCTGAAACTATAATCCTGCTCCAAAATCTTTCAACAGTTGAACAAACTGCAAAAGGTCAACAGCAGTAAATAAAATATTGAAATGAAATAAACTACAATCTACTTTACATTACTAAAAGTACCACCTTGCAATCTGTTTATTATGCTGTGTAACAGAATTCATCACTGCTATAAATAAATAAATAAATAAAGTAAGTTCTCTAACTGGATCATTTCTGCAAAGCCCCAGTGTGGGAACCACTCCACTAATGAATCGGCCAAGGCATGCACATATTCCCCAATATTAGAAAGAAACGTTAATACCGGCAAAAAATATGTCAATATTGGTCTACCTGTAATCTGCATGCAGTGACTTACTGAAAGCATTCATAATCCTTAAACCTCTTCACACCTTAAGTGAAAACCAAAAAACACTCGGTTTATTTAATGTTTTTAATCCGAGAGACTAATACAAAATAGTGATAGTATAGTACAGTATGAGGTGAAAATAATTTAGAGTTTGGAAAATGTGTTAAAAATAAAAGGGGCGAAAGTTGTATGCAGATATTTTCTACCCTTTACTATGATGCCCCTAAAGAAAGTAGGGGCGGATTTAGGAAATATGGGGCCCTAGGGAAAGACAGGCAGGGGGCCCTGTGAATTTATAAGACAACACATAAAACAGACCTATTCTACAGATAGAGAAATGTTAATAGAATAGACATCCAATATGTGTTCTAGGTTTTGTCCCTCTCTTCTTCTTGTTTTCCTCTCTATGTTTTGTACTCAGCTGACTTTTCATGCTGTCTCTAAAGGAATGAAAGATTTTTTCCAAGCACTAAGCTCACTTAGCTGATTGCTCCTTCCTGTGTTTCCAAAAAGGCCAAAGTAAATAACCCAGTCCTTCTTTTCACTGTAGACAAGCCATGATCTGCTTATCTGTTCTCCATTTTTCATTTGCCTAAAATAATAGCTGCATGAATCATGACAGCAGACAAGATAGAGGAGAGCAGGAGGCGGGGTTACCAATCTACTTGCTCTGGAGAGCAGAGTTCGCTGCTTTTAGATGCTGTCGCCAAAGTCTCCAGTGGCAGAAAAAAGCCGCTAGATTTGGCACTTTTTTGAAATCAAAGTGCTAGAGGGGTCTGAGAAGTTAGGGGTTTGAGGGGTTTTCGATACACTTAATATTATAAGCATTCTGACATCATTTTAGCGAAGGATTTTTTACATAATTAATGCACACAAATAAGGAATAGTTGTATTAACCATACATTTAAACAGAGTTTTATGGGGCCCCCAGGAACTTGGGGCCCTAGGCAGTATTGCCTAATGGTAAATCCCCCCCCTGAAAGAAAGACAAGCCCTTTAAAGCCTGGTCCATGGAATAATTGACAGAAAAATCTAATATTTTAAAATGAGAGTTTTCATTGAACTTTCTGACAAGGAAATAAAAAAAATAAAAATTAATTTTGTATAAGTTAAATTGGATCATTTATTTACATCTATTCTGATAAATTAGGCATTTCTGTATAATATACTATACATTTTCTATTCACTACATGTGTCTGATTGTGTATGTTAGGTTGTTCAAGAACAAAAATACTTTATAATAATGGAGAGGTCTCAAGAACTCATGGACCTACATAGAGCTCAGCTGTGTGTTATTAGTTATCTCTATAAATTTAGCTCTTCTGTGATAACCTTGGAGGTTCGATGGAGAACATTATTAAAAAGATCTTAAAACGAGAAGAAGAGAGCAGTGGCGGCCGGCCCATAGGGGGCGCTGGGGCACCGCCCTCCCTGATAAGAAGAGAGAAACGTAAAATATATTTTTACAAATTAACTCATAAATGTCAGTTTTACTCTCTAGAGTGTGTACCTATAAGCAAAACAAATTATATAAACTACATTTCCCTACCTACTGTCATTCATTTGTGGATTTCCACAGACAGACTCCTACCGTCTCTATCTTGGGGCGCTGATCAGACTGCCCCACATGTGCAGAGAATCTGCCAATCATGTACTATTGCTAGGTGAATTTAATAATTTAATGGCCAATCAGCGTCTCAGAATTTTATGGTCTTGGGGCACTGATAATACTGCACTTTAACAGGCTTCTGCACCCAATGCGCAGGTGCAGACAATTAGAGGGATGATGACGAACGTAACGAGCGAGGTGCAGCTTCCACCAAATTCGGTGAGATCCTTATTTATCACCTGTTTGCCAGAAGAACATCCCTGTTGTAGGATATGAAAATTTCATGTCATGGTTATTGTGACCAAAATCATCACTGTTACTGTTATTATATAGTAAATTAAATCATTACTGTTAAATTGTATTTATTGTACAATTGTTTATTTGAATTCTTATTCTGGATTAGTTGGAGACATACACTAGGCTATATCAGCCCGACCAAAAATATTTTTCACCAGCCGCCACTGGAAGAGAGCAACCTAAAGACCAAGGAGCACACGATGCAGAGAGCCAAGAGGCCTACGGTCACTCTGGAGGAGCTGCAGAGATCCACAGGTCAGCTCAACAAAACACGCATCAGTGCTTTCCACAGGTCCAGAGCAAAAATAGGAAATAAAATTGCTCCATTTAAATATGTTATGATAAAGGTGCATCGGTCAGATAAGACCAAAGCTAAACATTTGAACTGGATGCAAAATACAATATTTAAAAGAAAATAATACTGTAAAGGGCAGCTCTGTGGTGAAACAAGGTGGTGGCAGCATCATGCTGGAGGGACGCGTTTCTAATACAGGAAGCTGTTTTAAAAAGAAGATGGAGTTAAATAAACCCTGCGATACTGGATGAAAACAATTTGTTAAATGTTGGAGAGCTTCAACATGCAGCCAGAGCTGCAGTATAATGATTAGTGATGTTCCTGTGAATCTCGACATTTTTAATCCATGGATTATTTTCTCTCTATTTCACAGCTATGTACTACCTTCAGTGGGCCTCTGAAAACTTTGAACCTAACATGGAGAATGATTGCTGCTGAGCACGTAATTTAAGTTCATTATTTCACAGGAGAACTGGACCGAACTCTAATGGTTCTAGTGGTTGTTGCTGGGATCAGGCCAAATCACTGAAAAAATGCTAATTCAGCAACGCAATTTAGCAGTAATTAGATAAGCATACATAAAGGCATGATAAAAAACAGCAGATAGATGCCAGACACATTTCACACATTTATTCACAAGAAAAAAAGAATTAAAAGATGAATGTAGAATAGGGAGGACCGACTCCCTCCAAGAGGAACGAACCAGATCAGTGTTTAGTGTCAGGAAGCTTATCCAGCCTATAATCTTAAGCTGATAGCAGGAAGATAACAGCTTCTCCCGCTCTCTTCCAGATTGGCTGTCCCTGTAACAGGACACCCTTCAGGAATGTGTGGCTAAACTCGTCGCTTTCCGAGCCGTTGGCGAAGGATGGAGCATCCAGGATGCAGCCATGGCAGTAGATGGGAGAGGTGGATGCAGTGGGGGGGAGAGGAGGGGTCGCAGCTTAGAAGACACAAACACAGACAGACGGAGAGAGAGAGAGAGAGAGAGAGAGAGAGTGAGGAGGTGGGCGTACCGTTCTCTCCAGCTTCAGCACCGATGATTTCCCCGGCTCGTACTCGAAGATGCTCCGGGGCTCGGCGCGGTACTTCCTGGTGTCTACCTTTTTATCCGGAGGCTCCCACTCGCTCCTGTGAAGGAGAGCCAGGCGTCAGCGAGGAATGGAGGGGTGGGTGGGGTGAGGAGGGAGGGGGGAGAGCGGGATAGAAGGGAACCAATCCTCATCCAGTGGTCTCCGTGGCAACCAGCATGGGCTGAGATGTTTTCTTTTTTTTCTTTTTTCACATTAAAAACATGAGGTTTAAACGTCTGCCTCCTCCGCTAACAAGATGAGCGGTAATTTAGTTAAGGAAACAGGGTTGGATGCGGTGAGAGAAAACATCTTTTCCTCAGAGACGTTCTCATCAGGGAGGAGATGTTTACCTCATCAATCAGATATTAAAGGAGAAATACTGCTTGGAAAAAATAAAAACAAAACCTTTTGTTTTATGAGAATATTCCTGCAGCATTTAGGCGCCATTTTTCAGTCAACGATAAAGTTCAGCAATATCACTAAAGAGCTATACATACTGGCACAGATATATATTAATCCATAGATTATAATCTATTAACACACACATTAAACTTCTAAAGATTGTCTAAACATGTACAATGGATTGCACAGTGGGACCATTTTAAAAATGCAGAGCCATTACAGATAAAAGTAAAAAGTAAAAAATGTACTTATGCACTATATTCCTGCATTCACACACTGATGGTGGCAGGCTGCATGATGGTGCAGCCACAGCTGCCCTGGGGCTCACTGACAGAAGCAAGGCTGATGACCACCATCAGTGGGACAAGCTGAAGATCTCATGTATCCTGCACCCCTATAGGCTAAAGATATACATTTATGATATTAAAATGAAAACACTCTCTGACAGAGAGAACTCAGAATCTTGACACAAAATTGATAAACATTTCTTTAAAATTTCAATAGTTACTTCAGGAGATGCAAATCAGTGTATTTTTCACAGTGTAACTCGGACATCAGGTTCTCTTTTTACATACGAGAAAGACATCTCCTGGGTGCAGAAGATGCAGCCATCTTGAAGCTTCTCTCCCCATATATTTATAATCCCATTTGTTGCATTCTAGGCAAATCTATGTTGATACAGGGAGAGAACCCACCTACTCTAAAAAATATCCAGATTAAAAGCTAAACGGAAAATCTGCACCTCCTCATGAGGACTAACCAGATGTTTGGAGGAGACAGCTGTGGTGGCAGCATCATGCTGGGGGCTGTTTCACAGCTACACGTTATGGTGCATCACATATGTAAAATAATCAAGCGAGAGAATTACCTCTATGTGCAGTGAATTCTCATTATGAGTTCGTATGAAATAGTCCAGTTATGCACCGTTATTTCGTACGTTTTTGACGTTTTTTTCGTCGTATTTCGTTGTATTTTTACGTCTTGCCTTGAGACAAAATATCCTTGCTAGATATTCAATAACATAGAATTTGAGATACAATTAACCCTAACCCTGACCCTAAGATACAAAACAGCAAGCAACCTAGTGAGAGACATCAAGAAGTAATTAATTTTTTCCAGTTTTACGTCCGTCCGCGGATCTGTTTTTTTTTGTCTGTCTGCCTGCGCACTGATCTGTTTTTTCGAGGAAAAACGTCCAAAACGTACGAAATACTGTGCATAACTTTTCATACGATTTCATACGAACTGATAATGAGAACATGCTGCTATGTGTCTCAACTTCCAATCAGACAAAGCTAGGTGGGTAAACACTGAGGCCGACTGTTTGTTCCCATAAAAATCAGAACTGATTCTGGGAAGAAAAAATGTGCTATGATTTAATGGTTGGTAATACTTTGACCAATCAGAGGCCTCCTGTCTGCGGCACTGTCTGAGGTCCTATAATTTTGGAGAGGTGCAGCAGAGTGTCTTTGCTGCGACACATGCAGACGACCTGGTTTCTGAGTATAAATCTCAGTGTCTCAGCCAGCTGCAGGCAGCACTTTTCAGGATAGTTTCTGTTGTTTATTCAACTTCATGTGAATAAACAGAACAGAAGCTGGTCATGTTTGAATGTTTAAGTTTATTATAATATCTATTTTCCCTCCTTATATACAGACCTTGTAGTTGAGGGTTTTAGAGAAGAGGACCGCGTTGGCACCGGCATTAGTCTCCCCCTGGAATCGACCAGGTCGTCGCTTTTTGAGCGTGGCACAGTTTTCCCTGCAAAACAGACAAAATGGCGGATCAAATAAAGTCTAGAGACTTTGGAGACGATTCCCTGGGTGGAATATTACCACTCACCATCTTCCAGGTAACCGAAGGGGGTGGGACCTTCATCTGAAACAGCAGAGGAAGTTAGATGTTTTCATATATCTTTAATGGTTTAGTTAATCTTTTTTTTTTTTTCAAGGCTGAACTCGCTGCAGGAATAATATAAGAAACCTGAACTGATCGGACGGTAATAAGCTGAGTGATTATTCGATCTAAACCACTTAGGCTCAAATATATAGAAATAAATATATAGAAATAAATTAATAATGATGTAAACTCTGTAATCTTGATGTAAATCCTCCCAATTCTCGAAACACTGCTTCTTTTCTGTACACATTGGTATTTTTGTGTGTGCATGAAATAGAGACACTTTTTATATTTGCTTTTTTTAAATATAAAACCAGGAATATCAAAGAATAAAACAGTTTTAAAAAGCTTACAAAGTGTTTTGGGATTGTTCTTTTATTTGATTTTCTTAATTTAAGCAGGCTCCTACTCCAAACTCAACACCTTTAAGAACTTGAAGAGTCCTGCAGTTTTTAGATGCATCCCTCCCCCAGCGCATCTGAATAAAACGCAAAGCTAGTAACTAATCTGGAGAGCTGAGAGACGGGCCAAAGAAAACTCAGCCATTTGATTAAAGGGATTAAATGTTACATTTTACCAACAATCACATAGACTACGTTAGATGGAGTGAAGGTGATGCTTTAAAACCTAAGAGCACTCAGCCAGCTGTGAAGCACAGTGGGGGAAGCAGAATGCTGTGTGGCTGTTTTTGATGCATTGTACAATGTTTATGAAATAATAAAAGAAAGACCTCAGTTTCATTTTTTTTTTCCACATCCCTGGAGATCCCAAAGAACCAAATGGTTTGGAATGGATTAAACGTCCGCTATTATTACCAAAACCTCAAACCTACTGGCAATCGACTGCATGGACTCTGCTAACAGTCAGGTCTGTTTCAGGAAGCCAACACTTTTAAAGGAACTCCATGATCTGCCAGATTGGTCAAATATCCAGCCAAAAAACAAACTAGAAGATTGGTGATGAGTGCATAAAGGAAGGATTGATTTTCAGCCTGCGAAGCACCCGAAAATAAGCCGAGTGGTGTGTTTATATGTTTGAGGCTTTGTCATTTTAACTCTTTGCGGACTAGAAAAAGGCTGAGGTAAATTCCAACCTTTGCACACAATTCTTGTTCTTTAATAATCATTAAAGTTGTTTTAAAAAATGTTCAATCCTTTCGAAAAGGAGCACCGAAATAATATGCAGCTATGCAGAAAGACGGGCAAATACATGGGGCCCTTAGATATATTTCATTTTACAGCCTTCTGTTTCTACCAATTATAAGGATTGCTGCAATCAACAATCAGATGATCCTTTAAAAAAAAAAGGCTTAATACATTTGTTTTGTACCAGAAACTATGAGTTTTAACCCTGTGCAATATTGTTGTTGCATTATTTATTTATAGATGTTTTTTTACTTTGCCTGATAAAATCTATTATTATAATAATTAACATTCAAGTATCTACAATTAACTCTCTGTTCTGGCGGGTCTGTGTTCATTATACTATATGTTTACTGATTATCCAGTAATACCAAAAGGATAAAAAATGAACTATCATGCTTCAACCCATTGTCATTGGGGTTTTTCTTTCTTATAATAAAATAATTTCTAAAAACAGATAATTAATTAAGGAAAAAAGTTAAGCAAATACTCAAATGATGAAAATGGAACTTTGTAAAAAAGCTTTTAAGTAAGGAACATTTAAACTGAAATAATAAGTTCTTAAAACTAGACAGATATATGTAAATATATGCAAAATCTCTAATTAAACAAATGAATCATCCTTATGCAGACTTTTAATTATATTCTATTAATCTGGATTTTAATTATCTCTTCACAATCCAAAATATAAGACAAAAGAAATGCAAAATTTAATGAGATTGTGTGTTTTTGTTATTAGAATTATCATACTTGTAAAATAAAAAACACTGATTTGCTCCCAAGGGCCCCTAATTATGTTGTGGCCCTAAGCAGCTACTTAGTTTGCTTCTGCCTTGGGCCGGCCCCTGCTTTGACCAGAGCTGTATTGTTGCTGCTGCTTGATTATAAGCAAAAAAAAAAAAAAAACAGTAGGAACAAATGAAATCCAAAATCTCTAAATAATTCAAAATACATTAAGGTTTGTTGTTTATTTGTTTTTTTTGTTGTTGTTTTTTTTGGCTGCTGCTAAGAAAAACCTTCCATTAGGTCCAGCATCACAGGTTCACCGAGAAAATCAAAGACTGTCAAATAAAAGCTCTTTACAGGAAGCATTACTGAGCTATAAAAGATCTGAGCAGCTTTGAGAGAGAGACCTGTGAATCAGTAATGAAGCATGAAGCTCCAGCGACACGCTCAGTAATATAAACATTACTTAAACACAGATTTAGTCTATTAGTCACAGCAGCATACGGATACTTAACAGGCAGTGTCCGGTTAACATAAATATATGTATATATATATATATATGATGCTCAAATCTGAATGCTGAGAATAATAAACATGGAAAAGGTTGTTTATGGCTGCAGCTCTATGGAGAACAGACTGCAACCAACACACAGGATCTGAGCTCCACCTAGTGGTCACAATCGAACAATACATACATTGATGCACAGTTATTGAACCTTTGGAATAAGCAACTAGAAATTACAGAAGAGGACTAAGGCCACTGAGAAAATGAAAAAAAAAAAAAACAACTTAACAGATTTTTACATTTTATTTCAGTATAATTTTCAGTATAATGTGGGAGAAAAGTCAGAATTTGGACTTTAATCTCAGAATTCTGAGCATGAAGGAAGAGATCGTAGTACGGAAGAGGATAAGGGCCACCGAAAAAAAAGTTAACTGATTCTTAAATTTCATTTCAGTAAAATATGGGGGAAAAAAATCTGAATTCTGAGATTTAAGGGAAAATTCTGACTTTTTTCACATATTATACTGAAATAAAATAAAAAATAAAAATAAGTTAACTTTATTTTGGTTTTTCAGTGGACCTAATCCTCTTCTGTAAGAAACAAATCTAAACAAATATAAAAAAAATGTTACAGGGAAATGAGAAAAGGGGAAATATAGTCAATGATGTTAGGATTTATGAAGGTGAAATATTAATGGAAGTAGTGAAGCATCCTAACCAACATGAACTCTCTGTATTTGTGCAGATCAGCTAATTTAGAGCCAGTGAGAGCTAAATTATTAACTAAAGAGCCAAATTCATAAATATGTCAAACATTTACAGACATGCTTGTGGATAAATGTTTAACTGCGACTCCGGTCGGATGCATGAGGATTTCTGCAGTTTCCATAAGGCTGCAGGGAGTAGGAGGCTTTAAAACAAATATTTTTTCCCATCACTGAGTTTAATGCATTTCTTTAAAGGAATGTGCAATGAAGTTAGTTTGGGAACAACGTGCTTGGAACTACTGGGCAAAACTAGACTTTAAATGGCTTTAAAATAGACCTCAAGCTTCTATGGATTCAGGAAGTATTGGGGATTTAACAGACCACTTTATACATGCCGGACCGATGAACCTGCTACTGTAACAAAGGGATCCATCACTTCCAAATGCAGATGAGACAGAAGGAACTGGACAGAATAATTCACTCTTATATGTAGAATTTCATCTGGTTAATTTGAACAAACTTCCAAAAAGAGGCCATATTGGTTTCTGCTAAGGCTCATCATCGTGTTTGAAGCTCAAACAAAAAGAATAAATGAAGCAAAACAGGTCATCCTGTAAGCTTTGTCTGCAAAAGATTAACTATAAATTTGAAAATAACTTCTTCTGAGCAGAACAAGGTTAATAGGTTTAGTCTGAAATATACTCTACTGAACTAGCTTTGTGAGTATTTTCTACGGAAGAGGATTAGCGCCACTGGAAAAAAAAAAGTTAACTAATTTTTAAATTTTATTTCAGTTTAACATGGGAATTCTGACTTTAATCTCAGAATTCTGACTTTAATCTAAGGATTCCGAGAAAAAAGTCAGAATATTGACTTTTTTCCCAGAATTCTGACTTTAATCTCAGAATTCTGACCTTAACCTCAGAATTCTGACTTTAATCTCAGAATTCTGAATTTTTTTTCAGAATTCTGACTTTAATTTCAGAATTCTGACTTTTTTTATTGTCAGAATTCAGTCAGAATTCTGAGATTAAAGTCAGAATTCTGAAAAAAAAGTCTGAATTCTGACTTTAATCTCAGAATTCCGAGAAAAAAGTCAGAGTTCGGACTTTTTTCCCATACTATACTGAACTATACTATAGTTCAGTTAACTATACTGTTAACTTTTTTTTTTTTTTTTGTTGCCCTATTCCTCTTCCGTAATTTGCAGAGTGAAACCGTCTCATTTTTATTCCAGCCTTCATTGAATTTGAATCCCATTGAAATAGCCCAAATAAAATTAGTAAACTGATAGCTATAACGTTTGGATAATTATGTGAAATTTGTGCAATTTGTAAAATCTGAAATTTTAGGCAGCAAGACTGGTATAAACAGAATGGGAAATGTATTTTAATTTAGGAAAAGCTTTAAGGGTAATACATCCAGCCTTTAGCTTTCAGCAGCTCCTGGTGTTATTGTCTGAGACGCTGATTAAAAATGGGATTAAAAAGGAAAAGTAAACATCTAAAAGCCTGAAGGACATTCCAGAAGCTCAATGAAGGAAAGTGAATATAAAAAATATAATTAATTACAATCAATATTGCTTTTTTATATTAAATGTTTTCATATATTCTTTATATTTTATTGTCTTCCAATAACCCTAACCCTAACCCTAATTCTGAAAAAAACCCACCGAAAATCTAATAGCATCTTTTTTTAAGGCTCTTTAAGGTTCTCCAATATCTGTTTTTATTTAGCCTAGAAAAATGTTGACTTTGGGATTTTAAGATCCAAATTTAGCTAAAACAAATAAAAAAAATAAAAAAATCATGCTTGGTCTAAGAGTCTGAACCTCCCTGACCCCGTTTAGACACTTTATGTTTCACTTTTCCAACACAACTTCATGTGAAATGAAGGTGAGCTTATCGTGGTGACTGGTGGCTCTGCGGTCTGGACAAACGACCACAGAAGGTCGTATTGAAGCTTATCAGATGCTCTGTGCATCATCAGCGCATGTGATTGGCTGGTTTCTAGAAACGGAAGCTGAAGAGGGGCAGCAGATTAATAAAGCCAATGAGACCACGGCCGCCGCCGTCGTATACCTTTTGGGTTCATGCGAATGTCATAGGTCTCGGGGAAAATGTAGGTGGGGCGGTAGGGATTTTCCTCAATAGGCTCTGAGCACAGTGACGGAGAGACAGAGGACATGAGGGACACACACACACATGTTGGAGAGCAACAGGGAGGATTTAAGCTCAGGGAAACAGACTTACCGGGTATTCTGTGTATCTGTTTGAACATATTCTTATACCAGTCCTTGGATTTCTCAGTGTTCTGTAATGAAAAGATAAGAAATAAGAAACAACTAAAAGCTAAAATGAGCATTTGAATTTTATCTTTAACGGTTTATTTCTACCAGTAAAACAGATGGATTCTGGCCGACATTTGTCATTTTGGGTATTTTGTTAATTATAACATTAGACGATCCAGAGAACAGAAACGAAAACATAATTTCTGTGAACAGACGAGTCTTTATAAGCCAGTAAATCTGTCTTCATCAGACAGATTGTGTGGTTTCTCACCCGCACAGGCACAATGGGTTTGCTTATAGGGCCGAGGTCGGGGGAGTGCAATGATAGCCGCAGCCTCTTCCCGTCCATATCAGAGACTGGACTCACAGAGTTCCTGCCAGGACCTTTGTCTATGTCTGGGGTCGGCTCTAAAAAAGCATAAGAGACCACAATAAGAACAAAAACCAGCCACATAAATATTTCTTTTTTTTTTTACAGTGTCCTGTCTGGCAAAGTGGCAATAAGAATAATTGTCTTGATGCCAAAAAAGAGCCCAACAGATTTTCCTTTCTGAAGTGGAGCAGTACGGCTATCGCCATAGTGTCCCGCTTGATTTATGCATGTAAATAGCTTTATTATAATTATGGAGTTTTACAGATTATATGTACATTATATTACAGGAGAAAAATGGAGAAAAGATGAAAGAAACATAAATATTTCTAATGACGGAACAGAGAAGGTGTAGAAAACACTAAAAAGACAGAAGAAAATGCAAACTTCATGCAGATAATGGCAAATCAGGAATATCTCGTTAGTTAGAATAAAGTCGTTAAGATTAATCCTATAAGGATATTTGATGATAGCTTCAATTTAATGCCATTAAAAATTCAGCTTCTTTAAAAAATTTAAATATGACCTGATTGGTAAAATGCTTTTTTTATTACACGTGTCATCCATAAAAAAAAAACAAAACATGTACTATACTGTATCTGCACTTCTGGATAAAATAATGCACTAATGCTGCACAACATGGAGGAAAGAAAAACCCTGCAGGACTGCAGAGACCTCAGGTCCGGTCTCATCTTTCTTTTTAAAATAATTTTTAGACCTTTTCACTTGTAAATCGATCTGATAAATCCACCGAACCGACACCAGCTGACTGCCGAAACGCCACACTCAAGCTAAGTCGATTCTGTGTCTCAGTACTCTCCCTCTTTCTCCAAATACCGTAAAATGCAAGACTTGAATTTCATCTGACAAGAAGACTTTGGACCCCTGCTGAGTAAAGGGCTGGCTATCATCCCGCAGCAGTGTGTTGCAGTGAGCTTGACGCAGATATTTTTGATAAATGCCCAATATTGAAGCGTGGTCTGTGCTATGTTATTCCACCCCACAACACAAGACGGACAATCAGGAAATAGCTGTGGGTCTAGATACGACCGAGGCGGTGAGGAAGGGGGGGCAAGTTTGTGTGAAAATGGAGGAACATAAGCAGGGGAGAATGAGCGGGGATCCAGGTGGAAAAAGTGTCCCAGTGTTCCCACCTCGCTCTTCTAGCTGGTTGTCATTTTCCACAATGGCGGTCATACAAACAAAACAAGCCAGTAAGGTACCAAACAGGAAATACACATAGTGTAGAGCGGATGTAGATTTGATAGCCTGACGTAGTCCTACTCAATTCTTCTCCATAGAGCTGTGATTATGGGGCGTGTTTCGAACGAACCAGGAAAAAAAATGCCTCTGCACTCAATTGGATAGACCTACAACCAATAAGAGCAACGGAGTGCGTGACGTATGTTAAGCGACCAAGGGAGCCAGCTGTTAATTAAACTTTTGCCGAATCCCGTAGGAAGGACGCCAAAAACATCTTTCTTTTCAAAAAATTCCTTGATCGCGTTTCTCTGTTCCTCTTTCAAAATGAATTTGCTGTCGATATCTTCTAGAAGAGACCTAATAGCAGAATCTACACACCTCAACTCTCCAGCAGCAGCCATTGTTGTTGTCACCCAAGCGCGCTTTGGTCACGTGGTTGATTACGTTACTGTTGATCATCTGTCCATCATCGTATAAAGCCCGCCCTGACAATTTGATTGGCCTGACCACTGACCAGATATTGTGCTAGCATACTCGCGCTACTATTGAGCAATGCCAGACCGAACTTCCCGACCTCAAACGTTGTGGGCGGGACAAAGTTCGGAATGGCACCCAGGCTATAGATTTGACCAATCAGAGGCCTCCTGTCTGCGGTTACCAACAATTTTGGAGAGGTGCACCAGAATGTGTCTGAGGAAGGGGCGGGGCATCTCTGCGTTCACTGCGACACACACGCAGAGGACCTGGTTTCTGAGTATAAAACAGCATTAACATTCCAGCCTTTTAACTCCTCAGGACAGCAGACACGTCTGAGGATTCCTCAGGTTCAGATGAGATGATAAGCTTCTAAAAACCTAACCTAACAAGGCTACAGTTTACCATGTTGGTTGGGAATATTTTTTTGCTACACTTTTTCCTTCCACTCAACTTTCTCTGTTGGAGGATGTCAATGCATGTCTCTCTGTCAAGCTGTTAGTTTTCCCCATGATTGTTTAGGCTCAACTTTCCACGTCTGCATAAAAAGCTTTACCTTTTTGGAGTCTTGTTAAATTTAAAACATTTCTAAGAAACTGGGTTTTGGTTTGCTTTAAACTATGATTCAAAAAAAGTAAGAAAAAAAATAAAAAAAACAAACCACTGGACTTTTTTTCAAGTTTGATGACATTTCACATCCTATCCAGGAAGCTTTTGAATTCAAAATGTCTGGATTAGGGTTGAGTTCCAGGCTTTACAGGGTGGACCAAAAAAAAGCCTTGTTATGATTTAGAAAACATGCAAATTGTACCGAAAGAACAGGCCCTTAGTAAACTTTAACTATGATAGTCAAAATAATAGAAATAACTGTATGTGTTACATAATTGTGGCTAAATTGAATCAACATCCAACCAAATGTATGCTCCTGTTGGGTTGTTGCATGTTATTTTGTTACTATCAAAATATCGTAATGTACAGAATCCATAATTTAATGGCCGTTGACCCAAAGTCCAAGTGTTTCTCTGGGGACAATAAATGTAGCATGTTTGTACGAGATGTTTATTTGCAGCTAAGCAGGAACCTTCCAGGGTCTGAATGACGATAGCTCTCATCATTAGAGTGTGAATGAGGTCATTTCATGGTGGCTCATTATGACCTGGTGGCTGTATGAGAAATATATCAGCGTCCGACTTGCTCTGGTGACCGAATGGTTCACATTCCACATGGACAATATAATCAGGTTACCTATGCGTCGTTTGGATTAGAAAGCTACAGCTTTATGTAGCTTTCTAATCCAAAATTATCGAAATCTAATCTCAATTTGGAAGAAAATGTTGCTGTGTGTGTGACAGAAAGCTCATGTCATGGTTGTGCCTTATGTGGACTTCTTTTTGTGTTTCCTTTTACTTTTCAGTTCCTCTTTCATTTATGTTATGTTCAGGGGCGGATTTAGGAAATGTGGGGCCCTAGGCAAAGAGAGGCAGGGGGCCTTCTGAATGGAGAAGACAACACATAAAACAGACCCATAATAGAGATAGAGAAATGTTAATAGAATAGACATCCATTATCTGTTCTAGGTTTTGTGTCCCTTTTCTTCTTGTTTTCCTCTCTATGTTTTGTACTCAGCTGACTTTTAATGCTGTCTTCCAAACACTAAGCTCACTTAGCTGATTACTCCTTCCTGTGTTTTCAAAAAGGCAAAAGTAAATAACCCAGTCCTTCTTTTCACTGTAGACAAGCCATGATCTGCTTATCTGTTCTCCATTTTTCATTTAGATGAAATAATAGCTGCATGAATCATGACAGCAGACAAGATAGAGGAGAGCAGGAGGCGGGGTTACCAATCTACTTGCTCTGGAGAGCAGAGTTCGCTGCTTTTAGATGCTGTCGCCAAAGTCTCCAGTGGCAGAAAAAAGCCGCTAGATTTGGCGCTAGGCGCTTTTTTGAAATAAAACTGCTAGACAATTAATATTATAAGTCTTCTGATGGCATATTAGCAAAAGGATTTTTTATCAAAAACTAATAATTAATGTGCACAATTAAGTAATAGTTGTATTAACCATACATGTAAACAGAGTTTTATGGGGCCCCCAGGAACTTGCGGCCCTAGGCAACTGCCTAGTATTGCCTTATGGTAAATCCCCCCCTCGTTATGTTGTATTTTCTTGTTCATTGGTTTCTTTTCCATTTTGTGTTTAATTAAGCAGTGATATATTTTTCGAGTTACTCTCTGTTGCCCCCTTGTGTCAGTCTCATTTCCCTTCGCTCCTTCTGGTTACTTCTGTCCACACCTGCTCCCCATCAGATAATCAATCCTCTCATTGTTTCTGATTTTTATACTTTCTCCTGTTCAGTTACTCTTTGCTGGTTTCTCATCATTACTTGGATCCTCATTCCTACTTTTCCCCTAATGTCTGGTTTCCTGTATTTTGCTTCGTAGATTTTGTTTCTGTTGCCTTTTTTCATTTCATTAAACCTGTAAGAACTCATCTCTGCCTCCCTCCTCTCTGCATTTGGGTCCTCAACCAACCTCCACCCAACCCTGACACCTCAGCTCATAGATATCCTCCATTTTGACACAGCTGTAGAAAAATTTAGAGTAAGATTGAAACCTGATCGATCCCAGTAAATCACTCCACACTGCAAAAATAATCCAGAAATAAGTAAATTCTTAAATTAAGTATATTTACCCTTAATTGGAGCAGGTAAATAAGATGATCTGCCAATGGAATGAGTATTTTTACTCTTAAAATAAGATAGTTAGATAATATGCACTTGAAATAAGACAATAACATTGCTTTTTCTTATTTTAAAAGGAAATCGACTTGTTCCATTGGCAAAATATCTCACTTACCTCCTCAATTCAAGGAAAAATGCACTTATTTTAAGAAAAAAAATAACTTATTGAGATTTCTATTTTTTGCAGTGAAATCATCAGCTGCTCTTAGTCCCATAATGCATCTTGGTGTACAATGTTCTCAAGTAAGCAATGCAGATGTCATCAGGCTGCCCAAAGAAAAAGAAAGCTTATCTATCAGAGCAGGCGACTATCTTAAATTATACACCTCTGAGGAGTGTTTTCAGCACTGGACAGAGGTCAGCGCTCCAGCACCCCCATAGCCAACAAACTGGGAAGCACTATAATAGAACAAGCTTCAATAAACTCATCTTTAGGATCCGAATCCCAACATGCATCAACGATTCGTTCACCTCTTGATGTAAAAAAGTGAAATTGATGTGTTTACAGCTCAACTTAAATGCATACCTTCCAGATGGGACAGATTCTTTTGCTGCTCTGTGGTGAGAGACAGACAGACACAGACATGGCAGGAAAAGCGACCCGGCAGCCAAGCCAGGTGTGAAAGCATTAGTTCAGTGTTACAGTGACAGTGCTGGTTCAACACCAACATGCAAATACAGGACCACAGGTCCAGAATGACAGGAATGTCTCATAAACAAGCTCACAGATGGTGCTCACCTCTGCTGTGCTGCAGCAGGACGATGGTCGGGTTGACTGCAGTGGTGCGGGGATAAACACAGCTGGGAGCTGATTGGTTGCAAGTCTGAGCATCTGAAGGAGACGGAATCTGAATTTCTCTTATGCTTTTAAAATTGGCCTAAAAAGATGCAGAGAAAAGTAGACAAAAGTAGAATCAAAGTGTAAAACAACACATTTTCTATGAAGCGATTATGGGGGAGAGAAATGGTTTTGAATTAGGTGAGAGTAATGGTACCTGGCACTGAGTGTTGTTTTCTGGAGGTAAATGAGCCGTGTTACTGCTGCCCCCCTCAGCCGCTTCTGCTTTCGTTCCGTCCCCATTAATCTGGCCGGTCCAGCCGCCTGAAACGAGTCCAGAACTTTCTGAGCTTGGCAGCCACTACTGCAGGAAGAAAAACAGTGAGGATGGCACCGAAAGGTGGGGCGATGCGGTGAACTCCGGCTCAGACCGACCAATCATAGCAGATAACTTCTGCTGAAACGCTCTCTGTTACATTCAGCCGGGCGAGAGTGCTTTCCTTTGGTGGGTTTCATGCAGTAAAGCGGAAAAAAACAAGATTCTCCCACAATCTCTGAACTTTGTCATGAGAACAAAAAGCCTTTTCAAACAGCTGCAAGGATCGTTTGTTCCAGCTGCCTTATTTTATCCAGGCTTTGCAACAATTAAAGCATCTCCCTGTTGCCTTGGCCAGCTGCCAGTCCAGTTCCAGAGTTCTGTGCAACAAATAAGCCCTCAGTCAAGCCCCTGTGGTCCAAAGTGCAGCGTGGGCAGGCTGCAACAAGAGAGCTCTTTGACATTTGCATGAAAATATCAGCAATTGTTCCTTATCAGGGTTCTGATCCTTCTAATCATCCACTTCCATACTCCAGGACTCATATAATCTAAGCTTTGGTAAGAGCTTTGAGAGACATTTTTTTTTATAACAAAATAACATCTTCTGCACACACTAACGCCCAGTAAATTCAATTTCATCATGCAGAGAGCTGCTACAGAACAGCTTGACATACTTGTTGTCGTGACGACATTGGGTTCTTTGCTGACGAAGCCCTCGTCATCAATGTGGACCAGGGTTGCCCGTAGAGTCACCACGCCTTTTCCTTTGCACACCTTGCTCGGATCCAAATCTGAAAATGTCCAAAGCCACAAGTTCAAGTCCAGCAGTCTGTTAAAAAAACAAAAAACAAAAAAAAAACTCAAAGAAAGGGAGGCTGCTTTAAAGCTGCAGGGAATTCCAGGTTAACTAGCTCCTGAAATAGATCTAAATAATCAAATCCAGGCCATCACATTAATGATGCATCTCTACTTACTGCAACTAATTACTAAACAGGTTAGCCATCAGTCTAAAGCAGACAGAGAGCAGCTTCCTTCAAAATTATTGATCCAGATGACCAAAAGGAAAAATGGTCTTTTATTGTGGCGGCTGCAGAACCAAATGTAAAACTAAAAAAATAGATACATTAACCCTTTAATGCTACAGCATTTATTGAGATGATGATCTATTATCAATAATAAAAAAAAAATATATTGAAGGTCATATTATGTTAAGTATGAATTGGTGTCATTGTATTATTAATAAAACTGACAGAAACACGTTTAATAATAAATAGGGAGGCACGATATAATCGGCCTGTATCGGCCTTAAAACTGAGTATCAGACATCGGCCACCCCGCTGATATTTAACCCGATATTCTGAGTTTCTAAAGTCTAAAAAAAAAAAAAAAATACTACTTCTTCTTCTTCCTCAAAAACCTATCTTTTACAGACTTAAAAACTTCTATCTTCATATGCTGATATATTGCCATTTAAAAACACCATATCAATCTCTTTTACTAATGAAATATTGCTATATGTCATCGTTATGCTACGAAATCCCCCGAAAATTCACGACATTTTGCCATATTTTTATATGTTGATATATTGACGCGGTATCGATCTATTTTACTAACAAAATCTTACAAGAATTTGCAAAATATCACGAGAGTTTGTAACAGAACGATGAAATTTCACGAGATTTTGAAAGTAAAATAGATCGATACCGCGTTTTAAAAAATCTATTTGATATCAGCATATGAAAATATATTTGAGTATGTTATTTTTCAAAGTGTCAGAAATGGATAACAAAACTGCTATTTTCAATGACTACTTATTTTTGTCCAGCTTTAACATCGGTATCGATATCGGTTATCGGCTACATGAGTTTTAAAATATCGGCATATCTGATATCGGCCAAAATCCCAATATCGTGCATCCCTACTAATAAATATAATCTCTATATCACACTGCTTTCTTTTTTAGTCTATCAATTTCTAGAGAAAAAATATGATTTCTTTCTAAGACATCAGACAGTAAAGAGTTATAAATTCCATATCAGTTTTTATGAACCTGTCAGTTTTCCTGGAGTGTAAATATGATGTGACAGATAGAAATATTTAACTTAGATGCTGTTGAAATCAGAAAAATAAACAAAAAATGTGTCATTAAAATAAAAAATCACTGATACAGTTGATCCTCCTACAAACATGATCTATTTGTCAAAGATCATTTTTACATTTGAGTACTGATTATGATTAAAGACCAAACAACTTTAAGCCTTTAGGTGCTATCATATTCCAGCTACATGTCAGGAAAAACCTTTTCTATCCAACATCACAAACTTGAAGCCATTTGCAACCACTAGCAGTGAGCTTTACAGCCACTGAAGCTCTAGCTATATGCTCACTGGAAAAAAATCTAAATCTAGATAAGTCATTATTTCTTAAAATAAATGCATTTCTTCTTGATTTGAGGAGGTAAAAGAGACATTTTGCCAATAGAACAAGACAATTTACATTAAAAATAAGTAAACACAAATGCATTGTCCTATTTCAAGGGCATAAATAATTAAATGTCTTATTTTAAGAGTAAAAATACTCATTCCATTGGCAAACTATCTAATTTATCTACTCAAATTAAGGGTAAATGCACTTAAGTTAAGAAATTTTTACTTATTTCTACTGTAGGTCGTTTTTCCAGTGCTGAAGCACCGCATCTCAATGGCTAAGTATGGTGGAGGATCCATGAGGCTGTGGGTCCTTTTCTCTTTAAATAGTGGGAACCTTCAGAAGAAATCTCTGAAATACCAGCAGTCTAACACTGAAAACTGAGAGGCATCCTTTATTGGTGCGATAATAAGGATAATTGCCTTTCAGCAAATTTTTTAGAGAAATTTCAGCAAAAGACTGAATGAAATTTGCCTTTTTAATTTATTTTTGTCAGTGTAAGATGATCAACAGCTGGAGAAACTAAAGGGAAACATCACCTGCAGAGGGAATCAGATCAGGAGAACCTTTCATGGTTTTCAAAGGAGTAATCCGGACGGCGCTAACAGCTCTGGGACCTGAGCCCAAACAATCAGAGAGAAGGTGGACGAAATAAAACAAAGCTGACACATTTAAAATGAGCAAAGGTTAATTATCCAAGGAATAAATAGGAAAAGGGTTGATTTTTATTAAGACATCAGGGTGAGATTTGACTTACTGGGTGTTGAGGTTGATCTTCTGCTGCCCTCTGCTGGAGAGCCCTGAAGGAGAAGCACAGTGAGGCAGTTCAGAGAGAGAGAGAAAAAAATAATTCAATAAACAAACAGGGTTAGGAGGCTATATTAGGCTGCATGAAAATAAGCAGATACAATTAATATTCCAGATAATGTCATTTTTATAGATTCTCATATCTTATTTACCAAGAATGTTCAGCTTGTGAACATCTCGTAATGGTTTAAACTCGAGGAAAACTATATTTAATCATAAATTTGAATTAATTCTGCTTTTGTATCAAACATCCCCTGAACTCGAGCATAAAATGAAACATTTAAAGTTCTTCCTGGTCTGTTAACCACCCCTATAACAATAAGAAACAACAGCACAAGGCTTATGATTAAAGCAGGAACTCCTTAATCAGATAAATGTTCAGTTTACTCTAGAAAAACTTATACAGAAAATCCTGACTCTACTTTACAAGTAATATTAGTCGTGTTTTAAGAGCATCTCAGCTGACAACTAATTTTAACCTATTTTCCTTCATATCTCTGTTTCAGTCAATAACCAAAATATGTATAAAGCAATTTTTCAAACTATTAGAAACATGATTTTCTCTTTTTTGCCCTTTTTAAAAAATATATATATTTTTTTTTCTGTTTTAGGAAAAATTGTATAACAAACGTCCACAGACATTTCATTGCAAAAATGATCTAAAAATAAGTCAACATGTCTTAAATTAAGTGTATTTACTAGTGTTGCACCGATACCAGTATCGGGCGGGGCCCGGATTCAGCATGAAAATGGTATCGGTATCGGCGAGTACCAACAAATAGGGAATGATGCCATTTTTAGAGCCAAAAATTGCTTCAATTATTGTCACCCAGGTATAAAAAGTTCTACTGGATTCACTTTGTATTAGTCTTTTACCTGCTTCACAAAGGTGGGCAGCAGCTTGACAAAGCCAGAATGGCAATTATTTTACATCCAAGTAGTATGCAGTTCTTCATATGGTATCGGTATCGGCCAATACTGCACAGCCAAGTATCCGGTATCTAGCCTCATGAGACCATCCTGATCTCCCAAGCTTTCAAGGTTTCACTCGCAGATCAGTCTGGAGACTCTCCGTTAAAGAAAATTTGGAGCCGTTCACCAAACGAACGTCCAATCAGCGTTGGCTTTGAGGCGGGTTGAGGTGTGACGCAACGAGAAGCGCGACAGTCTAAAGAACATGGCGGCTTCAGCCGATGAAACTAGCGTTAGCGTGGCTATCGAGCAAGTTTTATCGAAATTATAGAGTATTTCTTCACTGAAAGAAGAGCAAAACACTGCTCTGGAGGCTTTTCTCAGAGGAAAAGATGTTTTTGCTCTTCTCCCGACTGGTTTCGGCAAGAGTAGCCTGGCTTGTGGTTGTGTTTTCGTCGTCGCTCTGTCAGTACGTCGTATGCTTCGTTGATCTGATTGGTTTATTTGGCCCGTCTATCACCAACATAGGCCAATCAGCTAACCAGTATTTTCGCCCCTTCCCAAAATTACTTCAACGGAAGGTTTTCAGATGGATATGCGGAGCAAATCCATCTGGCGGAGTCAGGTTATCAGGTATCGATATCAAGGCCAAAAAATGGCATCAGTGCAACACTAGTATTTACTCTTAATTTGACTTGGTAGGTATGAGGATTTGCCAATGGAATGAGTATTTTCATTCTTGAAATAAGATAATTAGATAATATGCAGTTGAAATAAGACAAATCAGTAGTTTTTTTTCTTATTTTAAATGTAAAATGTCTTATTCCATTAGCAAAGTGTCTCACTTACCTCCTCAATTTAACAACAAACGCACTTATTTTGAAAAAAATGACTTATCTAGATTTCTATTTTTTTCCATTTTGTTATCGTAAAATGAGGAAAAAGAAAGCTCACTAGAGATGTTTTGAGTGAATTCTCATTATCTTTTCTGACTCCTTACATTTAGACCAATTTCCTCCTTCAAATGTGTTTGATTGTTTAGTATGTTTGCACAAAAACAACAAAGTATTTCAGCTAAAATTCAGAACAGTGCGTAGCTTTTAGGAAAATTCTGCCTCGTTGGTTTGTGGAGTGGGCGGGTTCAGACTGGCATGCAACTGAAATGCTTTAGAGTTGATGTCAAACTCTGACACATGCTCACTTTAGGTTTAATTGTTGTCACTTAGTTGCTATCGGATTGTATAACCGTCACATGGATGATGTAATTATTTGTGATTACCGTAATAAGGTGAGAAAAACCACCTAAACTTAACTAACAATGCGTCATTTTTCCTCACTGCAAAAAATGGAAATCTGTATGAGTTATTTTTGCTTAAATTGAGTGAATTTTGTCTTGAATTGAGGAGATAAAAGAGACATTTTGCCAATGGAACAAGACAATTTACACTTAAAATAAGAAAAAAAAATTGCTTTGTCTTATTTCAAGTGAATATTATCTAATTGTCTTATTTTAGGAGTAGAAATACTGATTCCATTGGCAAATCGTCTTATTTACCTACTAAAATTAAGGGTAAATACACTTATTTTAAGAAATTTTGTACTTATTTCTAGATGGTTTTTGCAGTGCTGAATGAATAAAATCAGGTTTGCTTATAAAATTATTTCATTTTTTTAGTTTTTTTGTCCTTCTGCGCCAAAATGAAACGACAGCTTTCAGGAGTTGAGGCTGCATTGATTTTCTCTGAGTCTTAGAGAAAGCATCACTTTGTGCTCCTTTTTACTGTAATGCTGTAATAACATGATTAATGTCAAACGCAGATCTATGTTTGCTTATCCAGAGAATTAGGAGAGCAAACAAACATTTACTGCTGACAAACATTTCTTTGACTCTGTTAAAAAACCAGAGTAAAAAAAGCAACATTACAGCTGCAATCTACATACATTATCTAAAGAATTAAAAGCAATTTTAATACTTTCTGTTTTGAAATAAAAATAAATTTTTGCTCATGCTATTAATATGTAAAGGTCCCCTTTAAGAGATGCTAATCTCAGACCCATTAATGGAGAAACACCAAGGCCACCAGAGCGATCGCTCAGAAACACTTCTACACTGCTCTGCAGGGCCTCTGCTTGTGTTCAACCAGTCGGGTTGATTTAGGAGACATTCTGTTTAACAAAGCAGACAGACAGGCCAGCTGAGTGGAGATGCAGACACACTCACAGATTCACTCATGCATGTATGCAAAAACACAAACTGAGCTTTCTTTTAGTGTATGGAACAAAAAGACACAAAAAGCAATTTCCTAAACCGAAAACATGTCCGCTTTAATGCTTCTCTGAGTGTGAGGTTGTGTTGCTCTTTGTCTGCTCCATGTTTACAAAGAGCAGTAAATAAGCCAACCTGCAGAATAGGCCGAGGAGTGATGTTCCAGCTGGAAACCTCTGCTAATAGGACCTAATGGATGAGGGGAAAATGGGAGCGAATCCAAAAAGACCTCAGGAGGACAGAGGGGGAAAAACTTTCAGCCTTCATGCTGTGACGTCCCTGAGAATCTGACCCAGTGCATTTATTTTTCCTCTCTCTAATAAAATCAAGTGTCTGCCGGACCCCCAGCAGTCATAGAGGCGATGCCTCCATGAGCTCATTTCCAAAAGCCCTTAAACAGGCATTCCTTTCAGCAGTGCTGCTTCTGCTCTATCCTCATATGAACCCCAAGAAACTGAGTTTACAGTACAGCGAGGCCTGTAATGTTGAACTTGTAATAAATAAAAAGAAGATGACAGCCTGCAGGGTTCGGATCTCTGTATAAACAAACGACAGCAGAGATCCCACAGGACCTTTTTAGGAAGAGACACTTGTGCAAAGAACAGCCTCGATCCTGCCTGTGGATGAGGAGAATGCTGGGAAGTTCTGAATGGGACATCAGCAAAGGTTATGGTAAATTCACAAAAAGGGTTAATCCACTGTCAGTAAAACCTAAGTATTGTTAAATCATGTTGCTCCAACAGAAGCAGAGAAAATAGCTTCTTTGCTGCTGCCTCAAATCTGCAAAGAAGTGCAAGATAATCTGCTCTTCACCTCTCCTGCATCCTCTGAATGCTTTGGGATCAAGGAAATATCTTTTCAAATCAAAAGACTCCCAAAAGGCAGCAGCCGTCCATCTTACCTACCTGATGACACCCTCAGAAAGTCCTTACTCCAACATTAGCTCCTTCTGAAGCTGCAGGAGTATTCTGTCTGAGCTTTGAGGGGGTCTTGTTTGGGCGGGACGTCCCAGTGCTGACCTTGACCTTGGCTATCTGTGAGGTTCTGTTTGGTTTTCGCAGCAGACGTGTCCAGATAGACCTGTCACCACATGCCACCTGGGAATGTGGCACCCACTCACCAACTGTACAGGGCATCATTAAACCCCTCCTCCCTTCGATATGCTCATGCAGAACCAGCAGGAGAGGAGAGGACTGGGTGGGTTTCCGACCCTTAAACCTTCTCAGTATGTTTACTCTCACTGGACACTTCAGGTGTAAAAGAGAATATACTCTGTAAAGGATAGAAAAAGGCTTGTTGATGCCAACAAACAGATGGTTTAAGATGATAGGAAGGCAACAGCAACTATAGTAAGAAGTCATTAGAATCACAGTAAGCAGTGAACAATTTCTAAACCTGCCAACCTATAAAATCTTGGAGCGGATAGGCTACAGCAGGGTGCAGCTCCTGTTAGCTGAGAACAGGGTCAAAACTGGATTATAAAATAAACACATTTAGTCAGATGCAAGGTTGGTGTAAACCTCCATGTTACGGCTACTCTTGCATCAAAATAGTTTCCCAAAAAACTCCAAAATTGCCAGAGTAATCTTAGGAGGAGGTTTTTCGAATCACAAAACAAAAAGCACTCGTGGAGAATTTTCTTGTTTCAAAGAAAGGGGTGTTTTCTTTACTTATAAAAAATAACTGAAATATTCTCTAATTTGACTTAGAAAAAATTCAAATATAAAACTTAAGCGATGTGTGTAAAAAAAATTGTTGCACTCGTCACTCCTACAAACAAACAATCAGATCCACCTCATCAGCTGCTTCTACTTGTTAATCTCAGCAGGAGGCGGACTGACGAGGAGGAGGGTCAAAGCAAAACCAATACATAAACAAATAAACAATAGCTCTACCATTCACACAACCTTAGATCTTTAACATTAATAATTTTGCAAAAAACAAATTAATCTAATTCTTAATAAGCTCCAACACTCCATTAACCTTTGTTTCAATTCTAAGGTGTTTGGGTTTCTTTCATGTCTCTGATGATTTCCGTGATGATTCTGTTTTTCTAGTTGTTAACATTTTAATTTTTTTTGTATTCTTTGCACATTTTTTATATCTCTATGGGATTCTTTCACTCCTCAGCTCCTGTGTTTATTACTCTCCTTCCCTCAGCTCCCTCTGTCGTAATCCCTCAGCAGCTTCCCGGTCCTAAACTTGGCAAATATCTTATGAGTGACTCGAATAGGTCTTTCTTGAAATCATGGCATGCTCTGTTCATTTGAACAGTAAACAAATAAATTATCTCACAAGAGAAAAAAAATCAAATAACCTGCTGCTATAAGTTTGCATAGCTTTCAGGTAATTAACGGAATTAGAAATATGCTAATTTGCATCCTAAAAGGTTCATAGGATCTCATCCTGTCAAAGTATCAGTCAGCAGCATTGTTAATGCACCATTTCACAGTAACCACAGTCATCAATTAGTGAATGACATATTACAGAATGGTTAAATACAAAAACTGTTAATGTCTCCAGAAGGGATGGAAAGGAAACATAGAAACCGTTCAACAGACTGCAGAGAGGCAGACAGTAACACTGCTGAAGTTTTCATCAAGCAGTGGTTGTTTTCATATTAAAAGGCTCTTGGTTCCTTCTTATCTAGACAAAGGAGTCAGCCTGGAAGACTTTCGCTTCTGTTATAGTCAGGGCTGGATTGGTCATCAGGCTGACCGTGCCGACACACATTTATGGACCGACGCAAGGCTCTCATAAAGTATTAAAAATTAATGAATTTCATTTATTCATGACAAATTATTTATAAATTAACCAAACAATTGTGTGAATAAAAATTTTTTTAGACCAAAACTGTATGAGACACAAAAAATTTTTTTGTTTTCTTTATTTTATCTCACAATCCTCAGCCGACCCCTCCCCTCACTTTGATCGAGTTGATCAAATTCAGCCATTAGGAGGTTGGTGACCTTCTAATGTTTGGAGATAATGAACAAAAAACACAAACAAGAAACAAAAATAGAATACAAAATGGGACAAAAATCCTACAAATAGATGCAGATGAATGTGCGAAAATAGAAATGTGCCACAAGAGCAATTAATACATTAAGAATATGGAAGCACTTTACAATAAGGCGACTCTTATAGATGGATAACAAACAAGTTATAGAAAAGTTATTAATTATTCTTTCAATACTTTATAAGTCATTCATAAGTTTATAATATGCATTAAGAGAGAAATAAAACTGAGCAATTCCTGAGTCTAATCTCTTCAACTATATATTTCATCTACTGTTGCTTATATATAACATTTCAGAATAAGTTACAACCCTTTAAACACAATAAGCATTCATAAGCATAATCTTAGTATACAGAATGCATTATCAACACTTATAAAATGAGTTATAAAATGTATACAGACTAAATAAAACATCTATAAAGTACTTGTTAGCCATACTGTATAGAGTTAGTTATGAAATACTGACATTCAGTAATGAAATATAGATTTCCATCTAACGTACAACAAAAATACACAAAGCATAAATATTTGCATTTGTAGTACAATCGAATCATGAGCAGATTTTATAAAGTTATTATTACTTGTTGTTATTACTGTTAATATTTTTCATGTAGTATTAGGAAAGTTTTGAGGAGGGTATATATTTGTTACTTTAACTTTAATAAAAAAAAAAAAAAAAAAAATAATAGTTTTACACTGGAAAGAAAATGAAATCTAGATAAGTAATGTTTTCTTAAAATAAGTGCATTTGTTCTTGGATTGAGGAGGTAAAAGAGTCATTTTGCCAATGGAACAAGACAATTTACACTTAAAATAAGAAAACGCAATTGCATTGTCTTATTTCAAGTGCATATTTTATAATTAGCTTATTTTAAGAATAAAAATACTCATTCCATTGGGATACTATCTAATTTACCTACTCAAATTAAGGGTATATACTCTTAATTTAGGATTTTTTTTACTTATTTCTAGATTGTTTTTCCAGTGCACTGCAGTTATCAATTATATAAATTCATGAAAGACTCAAATTGGTCCATATGAACAAAAATATGACTTCAGTAATATTGCTGGGAGTTATTTCTCCTCTAAGTGGGCTACTCTACGCATCATGATTAACTTCACACACAGACCTAGATTTAGGTTCGAGTGAGACTTCCTGTTTAAGCAAAAATCTTATTTTTGCTTAAACATAAAAAATATTATTTTCTCTTTCAGAGATCAAGTGAAAATTCCGTAACAAATATACATTAACTGTAAACATGGATGCCACAAGTTTCATTTAGAACAAAAAAACATTTAGAAAAGTATTTCTTCTTCATATTTTTACTTCATCCAATGATATCTAAGAGTTACCTTCAGGTATCACCTGAAGGTTTTTTATTATAATTATTGTGTTAAAGTAAAGGGCTGAAACAATAAATCGGATGAATTGTGATTAATCGATTATTAAAATAATCATCAGCTAATTTAGTAATCGTTAAATCGTTAACTGGAGTATAGAGACTCTAAAATATGCATTTAGCTGACAGGACAACCCACGTATAGTAGGAATTGTATAAAAATGGTAAGAAATATTAAACAATTTTGCATTTTTCATCTGTCAATATGCTCTATGCAGGACTCCTTGTGCACAAATGTTATTTCTATCTGGTTTAATTCTGTAAAAAAGGAATTATTAATAGACAGATCAATTGATTTGCACAATAATCATTAGTTGCAGCCTTAATAATTGATGTTATTAAAGGTCTGTTCTAAATTGAAATGGATAAATATCACCTTATTGGTGAAAAATGGTGGAAATAATTCACTGTGGACTTAGAAACATTAAACTTTAAAGGAAAAGTCCCGTCATATTCAGAATTTAAACTTCTGAAAGTACTTTAAATATGAAATTATTACATACTGTTCAATAAATGGCGAGAGTTTAAATTCAGAGTAATCTTCATTTGAATGTGCTTTACTGGAGGCATCCATGTTTGTCAAAGAACACTACTGCCACCTACTGGTTTGTGACGTCACGGTGCGGTATCGGCTGTTGATCAAGTCCCAGTGCTGTATCTGGTGTTTGTCACAACGCGCTATTATCCAAGTCATCTTGAAAACATTCTTCTTCCAAATGTTGGCTACATATTACAGGTTTTTTCTCTGGCCAGAAGTTCCATGGCAGATCCTCCCTCTTCAAGTTGGCGATCCAACGACCAACCCGTCCGTGGAGGATCAGGAATCGGAAAGGTGAAATAACTCTTTTTTTTTTACTTTTCCCCGATGTATTCCAGCATCCAGCTGCCATGCACGTGGGCATTGTCAGTTTCACTATAGCTCTGGTGAATTTCAATGGTGAAGTCCTCTGGAAATCTTCAATAATTGTTGTTGATTGCAGATGTGTCTAGTAGTTCCCATTGATTTTGCCTGTAAAGCGGTGAGAATGGCGCTAGGCTTACCGCACCGTGACGTCACTGCTGGAAGATGGCAGGAGGGAGGGGTTACTATATTTGGGCAAAAATGGCCGCTCCCGGACTCAGTGATTGCAACGTATTATTGCTAAATTCCTTAATTCACCACAAACATGTTAATTTTAGGTATAGATAATGATCCATTGATTATTCCCCACTGACTGGACTTTTTCTTTCATGGGGATACATCTTTAGGACACATTCCTTATTTTTATCATCTATCTTTGAAGTCACAGCCTACATATATAAAATGTAATATTCAGCCTGTTTCAAACAGTCTTCTTCATATAGTTGCAGGTATTTTTTAAATTACTTTTCTGACACTGCAAAAACAATCTAGAAATAGGTGAAGATTTCTTAAATTAAAGCTACAGTGTGTAACTTTTAGCGACATCTAGCGGTCAGACTGCAGACTGCAGCAACATGAACATCTCCCCCCACCGCTTCTCCCCCCCAACAGTACGGCGAGCGTTACGGGACAAAATGTCTTCCACGACGTCCGCATCACCTACCTTCTCAAGTGATGAGGTTTGTTTACATAGATAATTTTAATACTGCCATCTATTGTTCAGTACCGTCTCAGTTCATCTCTCTCAACTTGCCGTAGTTACTTTCGAGCGTAATGGGCGATCTCGCAATCGCTAGTTTGTTGGCTCTGCGCTGCCGTAGCGCAAAGATGTCTGCCTCCATGGCTGCGAGACCCGCTCCTATGTAATTATAAATAACGAATTCTAAGGCAACACAAATTTTAAGGTTAAGAGCCTGAGCTCGTATATGATGATAAATAACATAGTTATGTATAATATATTACATTTCTGACTGTATATCCCTGTAATTATTACACACTGTAGCTTTAAGTGTTTTTACTCTTAATTTGTGTAGGTAAGTAAGAGGATTTGCCAATAGAATGACTATTTTTATTCTTAAAATAAGATAATTAGATAAAACTCACTTGAAATAAGACAATGCAATAGTTTTTTTCTCATTTTAAATGTAAATTGTCTTGTTCCATTGGCAAAGTGTCTCACAAACCTCCTCAGTTCAGGAAAAAATACACTTATTTTAAGAAAATTTGACTTATTAAGATTTAAATTTTTTGCAGTGGAAGAATTACCCCAAAAAAGCATCCATATTTCCACTGTTTTCTCTCTAAAAACCAAACAATGACTTCAGCTATGATGTATGCCACACAGGGAGGTCCCTGTGTGAAACATTCATAGGCTCCCTCCTCACAGAGCAGTGTCAACACAAAGGAGCTCTCATCACACGTTGTGCTATGGACAGAGAGAATGGGCTCTTACGTAAGGCCATTTGACTTCTGCTTTGTCAACAAATGGCAGAGAGAGGAGAAGCTGAGCAGCGCCGCGCTTGGATCTCTCTGAAACAGCTCCAAAGAAGGCTCGAACGTGGCGCTCAAGAGCAGGAGCCTTTATCCTCCTAATTGAGAAGAGACCCCCACCGACCCTCCCGGCTGTCTCTCCATAAACAGCTTCTACCCTCAGCAGCAGCCTGGGATTCTATGCATTCCTGAGGCAAAGCTATTTGAAGTTCATTTCAAACAACTAGGCTTAAAAGGAATTGAATGTAACATCCAGAGACCGGGAGCAGGAAGCCACCTGCAAATCAGATATCAGCACACAGATGTAATCCTACCCTCCGGCCTTTCCCACATTACAAGTTACTTGATGTGGTGAGTTAAAACACAGCTCTGTACAATTGGGAAAGAAAGTGAAACATGGCTTTAAAAAAAGATTAAAATCTGGAATTTATGCCATTTTACCTTGACTCGCCAAAATAAAACCCGTTAGCTTCTGAAATGTTTCACACAAAGGGACACTTTGTGCTGTTTGTTAGAGAACATTAAAAACAGAAGCACCATGAAGGGAAAGAAGCCCAGCAGGGATATGTAGAAGGGTTAAAGCAGGTTTATATTTTAAAACAATATCCTGAACTTAAGTCATCTTTACCACCATACAGACTGTTCAATCTGTCATCAAAAATGGGAAATCTATGGAAATCTCAGGGTTAATTTAAGAGCTGCGAAAATCTGACATCAGAACAAATATTAGACATGCAGAAAGAAAGAAAGCCATTGTTGAGAAATAAAAAAAATCACAGCAAACAGGTAGGAGAAGTTTGTCTGGTCACATGACAACAATGACCAACATGCAAAACACTAGGCGTGGCAGGAGCCCCACAACCACATAACATAAAGAACACATAATCGGAAACATGCTGGAAACTGACTGCTGCAGAGGACTAGAGACTTCAAACAGCATTACATGTCATGCAACAGTGAAACACAGTGACGTCTGTGGTTGTGATTTGAAGCAGCTGAGTGAATGGAAACGTCTAATACCTATAGAAATGCTATTTATATATTCAAATCTTTAAATATTGGCATGATAAAAGGAGTAGATTTTTAATTAGCATTTAAAAACCATCAATTTTTTCCATCACGCTTAATCCCAGGTGAGTCGCTAGGGGTGCTGGTGCCTATCTCTAGCTGTCAATGGGCGAGAGGTGGGGTCCACCCTGGACTAGGGATGGAACGGTTTTTGAAAACCGTCCGAACCGTTTGGTTCGACTGTCTCGGTTCGGTTCGCGTGTGTTTCGTTCGGTTCTGCTCCTTTTTCTCATAGGCGAAGCGATTACACTCCAGAGCAGAAGGTGGCGGTACTGCGACCAAAGCCAACCACCAGTAGTAAACAAGAAGAAGAAGCGAAGCAGCGTAGCCGTGTGTAGCAGAAAAAAATCAGTTGTTGTGGAGAATTGTGTGGGTATGGCGAGCGGGAAAGAACAGGAGTTGGAAGACGCACCAGCAGCACTTTATAGGTCTGCTGTATGGGACCACTTTGCATTTAGAGTGACCTACGATGACGGCGGAAAGAAAGTTGTGGATAAAAACAGTTTTGTTTATGCTAACAGCAATACGACCAACATGTCAGGCTAACAATCAACATATACCGAACCGAAAACCGTGAACACGAAACCGTGAACGGAACCGTGGATTTTGTGAACCGTTCCACCCCTACCCTGGACAGGTCGTCAGTCCATCGCAGGGCAACACATAGACACACAGGACAAACGACCATTCACAAGCACAATCACACCTAAGGAGAATTTAGAGAAGACAATTAAAGGGGAATTTTGCTTTTTTTACATTGGGCCCTTGATTTTACGTTATTACATCATGTTCTACTCACCCATATGAGTTTTGTGTCATTTGGAGCTGTTCTGAAGATACTCCGTTAGGTTATATCCAAGTAACGTCTTCCTATGAGCAACGAGTTGAAGGCACAAACTAAACTGTTGATAATTAATTCTTTATGGCAGCGGTCCCCAACCTTTTTTGCACCACAGACCGCTATATGTCAGACAATATTTACACGGACCGGCCGGCGAGGGGGGGGGGGGGATACGATCAAGTAAAATGATACGAGTGGCGTAAAATCAAATACAAACCGCATAAAAATAAAACAACAAGCCGGTCCCATCTAGGCGTAATCGGAGAAAATGACAGACGAAGTGTGCTCCTGATATCCAGTCTGCTCCGTAGTTTTGTTTTGGTCGCTGTAACAGCAGAAAATCCCGCTTCACAAAGATAGGATGTTATAGATAGGAGGAGTCGTGAACTGAATTAAACTGTGTCAAGAGGCACAGATGCACCGACTGATGTAACTGGGAGAGAATACCGCAATTTTTTATATTTTTTAAAATAAAACATCACTCAAACTCTGATCGTCGATAAATTATATATGTATATATATATTTTTTTTTTCTGTGCAGCCCAGTACCAAATGACCCACGGACCGGTACCGGTCCGCGGCCTGGTAGTTGGGGACCGCTGCTTTATGGTACACCAGCATTCATAACATGTAGGCAAATCTCTGTCCCCCAGACATCCTCGGTTATATTTTTTATATTTATCTTTATGAAACAAAGAGTTTTTTTTTTTTTTTACTTTATTTAACCAATGTACATTACACCAAGCGGCTATGCTCTACCTCTTGTATATTCGTTTAGCTAATATGAACGTTCAATTCCATTTCTAGAGCGAGATCATCTGTGGTAGCAGCACTAGACATCTTCCAGGCATGTGAGGAAAACTAGCAGCAGTCCAGCGGACAGGATAAATGAACGGTAACCGGCGCGTGCGAATGACGTCATACACACGGCGCTTTATTTTTAAAAAATATAAATATAAAAAATATAACGGCGGATGTCTGGGGGACAGTGATTGGCCTACATGTTATGAATGCTGGCGTACCATAAATGATAAATAATAAACAGTTTAGTTTGTGCCTTCTAGTCGTTGCTAATAGGAAGACGTTACTTGGATATAACCTAACGGAATATCTTCAGAACAGCTCCAAAATACAAAACTCATATGAGTAGAACATGAGGTAATAACGTAAAATCAAGGCCCAAATGTTCCCTTTTACCTAATAGTCATGTTTTTTGGACTGTGGGAGGAACCCGGAGAGAACCCACACATTCACAGGTAGAACATGCAAACTCCATGGAGAAAGAAGCCGAGCCGGGGAAACGAACCCGGAACTTTCTAGCTGCAAGGCAGCAGTGCTACCCACTGCAACACTGAGCAGCCCCATTTAGAATATATCAGGCGATATTTTAATGGTTGTTTACAGCTCCTAGATAAGGAAGTCGGATTCCAGTGAAGAACCAAACCACCCACAGCGCTGAGCTAAGAAAGAAGTGTCCCTGAGTGCTTGCAGAGGCTCAGACCCTGATAAGCCACGGCCAGATCCTCCGCTCTCAGAGATCACATCCCGCGGAGGCCTGAAGCTGGCCGAGCAGATCAAACTTTCTGTTACAGGCGCTGTAGGAGAGCCAAGCTGCTTGCAGCCTGTACGCTAGGCTTTTAGAAGCAACACCAGAAGAATGCCAACGAGTTGACAGTTTACACAAAGTGATGTATCTCCAGAGCAAATGCTCCGGGCCGCAGTCCAACAGCGAGGGAGCTCGAATCAGAGCCTCGCTCACAGGATAAACACTGGGCTGAATATTTAAGTAGCACTCTACTCTCACTTTGGAGAGTTCACTTCTGTGGTCAGAGAGTGAAAAGTTCAACACTAGAAAAAGCTTAAGAGGGCTAATTTATTGAAAATGTGGGGTTTCATTTATACATATGAAGAAGAGACACCCAGGGTGTCGCATGATGTTGTGTCTATGTAAGGATCCCAGCTGTGCACTACTGATTCCTCTTGGCTTCAGTACGCAACATTAGGTGCACAGCTATGACAATCCAGATTATTGCCTAAGAAGGTGCTGACAGCATTTTTTCATCTCTGCTGGATGTTTTGACTCCAAGCAGGATTGGAAGCTCTGACTGTGTTCCCTAATATAACTCTCAGAGCGCCTGTGTGGCAGCCCTACTTGATAATTGAGTCATAGGATATGGCGGCTGAATGCGAATACAAACAGCCACGCGATAATCCAGCAATTTTGAGAGCAATGAAGGCCTCCCCGTGCGAAATGAGTGTGCGGCGGGACCCGAGAGGGTCCGTCTATTTGAGGAATGCAGGCGTGGTCTGACTCGAGGCCGTCATGCCCAGAGACAAACACAACAGGCAGCTCCGTTAATAACAGCCGGGCGTCACGGCAGATCAGTTATCGTTTTTATTTTCAAAGGGAGCGATTTACGAGCTTGCAATGCATGAATGTCACTTAATAAAGATAGTTTGATCCGTGCATCGATGAGTAACATCCAGCGCTTTGGAGAAGTATTCACACCTCCTGAACCTCTTCACAGTTTGTCATGCTGCAAACTTCAGAGCGACGTGTTGGGATTAAGGTTGATAGAACATGACAGAGCAGTGCTTAAATGGGAAATAAAAGGGAAAGAATGGGTGGTTTTGAATTTCTAATCTATGTAAAGAATGCTGAAAATTCAATTCAGTTTATTTTTATAGCACCAATTCGCAACACATGCCATTTTAAGGCACTTTACAGTTCACCAGATCACACAGTCAAAGTGATTCAAAGTTTTCTATCTAAGGAAACCCAGTTGATTGAATCGACTCATTGACTGGAATGCAATCCCTCACACTAAGCATGCTTGTAGCGACAGTAGAGAGGAAAAACTCCCTTTTAACAGGAAGAAACCTCCAGCAGAATCATAAAACCTTCTGCTGCTTTTCCAGCTCTAGCTCTTTTGGGATGTTTATCTACCAGCCTTAAACACATACAAGCTTAAAATAGTTGACATAAAATATTTATTCGTTTAAAAGTTACAGAACACAGTCAATCCGAGTTTTAACTCCTGATCTAATCCCCTACAGTGCTGCTCAGGGAGGTCAATCTCATCTTTAATCTCACATCCTTAGCAGGTTTCCCTCCAAAATTGTTCTGAATTTCGATCCATCCATCTTTCCTTTAATTCTGAACAAGTTCCTGAGGTTAAACACCCACAGCATAATGCCCCCAACACCATTTTCAGAGAGGATGATATAATTTTTCTCTCTTCTGATCGTAGCTCTTTCTTCAACGTGCTTCCACTGCCTCACAGCATTATCTTTTAGAAAACATGGCATCAGCTGACTCTCTTTAATCAACAGTTTACTTCTTGCTCCTCTAAAACAAAGGCTATGGTTTTGTAGAGCGAAAGTAAACCTCGTCCTTTATGATAGATCTCTCTTTACTTTTGCATTTTTTATCTGAACCAGATCTTCTCATAAGTTGATAGTTTTCTGTCAGTGGATGCTGGTAATACTGTCATGGTTAACAGAAGGTCCATGGGATCTAAACCTCAGACACTTTTTTTTTATTATGAAAACCTATTTGCAATTACAGGATTACCTGCAATGAGTCTTTAAAAAGCCAAAAAGTGAGAGTGGGCCACTTGGTTGCTTTTCTAATTAATGCTCTCCTCTCCTGGCCTTTCAGTTTAGTAGACCTCCTTGTCTTGAAGGTTTTTGGTTGGTCGATGTGTTTGAAACATTCAAACAGTAGTTTGGTAGTTGGAGATATTATTTTAGGACCTAACGCTGCTTTAAACATCTCTATAACTTTCAGTTTTTTCCCTAATGTACTTTAACACATGCATTAAAAGCAAAAGTCCCGTCAGCAAGGAATAATCAATGGGTCATTATTTATACCTAAAACTAATAAGTTCGAAGTAATTTAATGAATTTAGCGTTAATCACCAATAAATAAAAACAATATTTTTATTCATGATCACTGAGTCTGGGAAAATAACATTTGTCCACAAGGAGTCCTGCATAGAGCATATTGACGGATGAAAAATTGTTCTTTTTATGTTTAAATGCAAAGTTGTTATATACTTTTTACAATTTTTTATATTTCCTACTATACGTGGGTTGTCCTGTCAGCTAAATTTAAACTTATTTCTCCTTTCTGATTCATGATCCTCCACTGATGGGTTCGTCGTTGGATTGCCAACATCAAGAGGGAGGACGTCATTAATCCGTTACTCTCTGCTTCGCATAGTGTACTGGTCGTCGCCATCATGGATAATAGCACATTGTGGCAAACACCAGATACAGCACCGGGACTTGCTCAACAGCCGATACCGCACCGTAGGTGGCAGTAGTGTTTTTTGCTATGCCTCCAGTACAGGCACGTGCAGAGGGGGGGGCTAAGGGGGCTTGAGCACCTGCCCCTTTTGCTCCATGATCCCAATGTGCCCTTTTGGTCCTTTTTTTTTTTTTTTTTTTTTTTTTTATCTTAATTTTTTTTATTTGACACATGTACTGAAATTATTATTATTATCTTTTTTTTGGCAAGAAAAATGTAACCCATGTTAAAATCTAACATAAATAGGGATCTAACATAAATAGGGATAAGTAGTTGGTTAAAAGTCTGTAGACAGAAAATAACGTTCCCTTTAAGAAACCAGGTGCAGTGTCTGGGTGACGCTGCAGTACGCAGACCCGAAGGAGAGAGCGGAGGAGGAATCGGAGAAAAAAAAGAGCGGTGATTAATTAACAGAAAAAAGTTAATATTTTAGTAAACAAAACATAATTTACCTGGTCGGGAACTGACGAGGATTTTATGAGAACTAAGCCATATCGGTTTTGGTGAGTTTTGTGTTTATTTTTCTGTATTTTCATTGTGTTGTAATTTTTCTGTTGGTGGAGAGTAATTAACTGTTATTCAGTTAATATATGAAGTTTATGAAGAAGAATTTATTTGCATAATTTGAGTATTTAAAAAGAGTTTTATTGTGTTTTTGGCCTGTTACACAGGTCAGATTTTTTGTTTGGATTGGAAGTTTGGTCGGAGCGAGGATTACCCCTTGCTCACACTGGCTCCGGTGCGGTTACCGAGCCGACGGAGACCGCAACTCCCGCACACCCCCTCTCACTGCCATGTGCGGCGTGCACATTCACAGACGGGATTCAAGATGGCGAGCCAGACCTAGAACTTCAATTCATCTTGTCCATTGAGGGAGGGACTTTCCCGCGTGTGGTAATCCCCTGCCAGAGCGGTTGGGATATCAGAAACTAGTTTGAACTGAACTAAAAAAGAACTGGAGACTGATTGAATTATTATTATTATTTTTTGGACTGAATCAAACTGATTCTTTTCATCGAACTGAGTGCCTATATTTACATTTGGACTTGAACTTGAATTTAAAGTGCCATACTTTGATTTTCATATGTTTAATTTCTGAATGTGATTTGAGTAATTGTGGTCCACTTGATTTAACTGTGTTGAAGGTATTTTGCAACCTGTAAAAGAAAGGAAAACAGTTAACTCAGGAAAAATTTAAATCTTAAAATAGGTGCAACCTATGAAAAAGATACTGGTCTAATTAATCCAAATTAGTCTAATTAAAATATGAACTAAAGAGCAAAAAGAAAGAGTGATATATTCTTTTTTTTCCTTCTCCCTTTTCTTCCCCATTTATACTTGCCTCATTATTAAGAATCTGCAGAGTATTTTTGGTTTCATGTATTGTATTTTATGTGTGTTTTGCATTCATTAAATTGCCGGCCATTTTCACTTAAGCAGCGGTCTCTGGTGCTATTATTTTGCTCCCCACTCCTTAGAGCCTAGAACTGGTCCAGTGGCGCAGTTAGTGGTGTGATACCAGTGCTACAAAAACAATACAATAAGCCCTCCGGTCACATTGTTACCTTTGACCTTTTGCCGGTGACGACGCACTTGCCTCTCGCACAGTCAGATAAGGCGGCTAACTGCGGAGCTAAAGGTAGCGAACATTCCACATTACACTGTGGCCGCTGCTCATTTGGCCCTAAGCATGATCAACCATGATCGGATGGATGGCTATGTCGTCAGTCTGCACCGCCTCTCCAATGTCAACCTGAATAGACATGTAAGTGAAACCAAATGAGCCCCATGGATGATGCAGTATTGTTTGATCTAAAACACTGTTTACTCTGTGCTTTTAGTATTTTACATTGAAAATTATGTTTTTTAATTCACAAAAAACTGTTCTGTAATGATTACAGAACAGTTTTTTTGTGAATTAAAAAACATAATTTTTGGTGAAAATACTGGAGTAGGCTTGCTACTTGTCAGACAACGGAAAACTTTGAACGTTGTATAATTTCTCTACTTTAGCAAAGAGTAGCGGTTTAAACGGAGGAAAGTATAGGACGCAGCGCGCCTTTCTCTGAAGAACTACTGAGCGGGAGGAGAGAGCCAGATGAGGAACAGCTGTTCTTATCTATCGATTCAGTATTTTTATCATACAGACATTAGGCTGTTGTTCTTGTGTTTCCCTTAGCTTTGATTGTATGTCTCACAATTTTGTAATTTATCATTGTTCATTAAACTCTGAAAGCTATGTGACTTTGTTAATATTCTGTCCTAAAATGCGATAAGATGTGCCCTTTTTTTTTTTTTTTTTTGAGCACCTGCCCCTTTAGTGGTCTCTGCACGGCCCTGCTCCAGTAAAGCACATTCCAATGAAGCTACTCTTAATTAAAACACTTATTTATTAAAAAATATGTAATAATATCATACTTAAAGTACTTTCAGAAGTTTGTATTCTGAATGTGAACTAACTTTTCCTTTAAGCCTTCAGAGAACAGTGAGATTAAATTATATATTTTTTAATAAAGTGAACTCTGAAATCAGAGAGATGAACTGGAATTCATTTAGAGTTCCACCAGTAAAAGGGCTGAAAAAAAAACATGTTCACCACTCTGATTTACTTTGTTAACACTTGAGCTACTTCCGACTTTTTGTTGGTCTGTTGTACATAAAATCCCAGTTAAGATACATTAAGGGGGAAATGTGTTACTATTTAAAATGTCTGCAAACAGCCAGCATGACGTCACTGTTTTTCCATCGTTTAGAGACGTCTAACACCTGGAAGAGCGGTGAAGACAGATGTGAGGTCCTGATAAAATCCATCAGCACATAAGAAATTGGCTATTCAGCGCCTTGTTTACATGCAGCCATGATCAGGTGGCGTCTTTGTCACACAGACCTTGAAAACTCAAAGCCCAACACTTTACTTCCCCCTCTGACTTCACCCAATGAGGGGCGATGGCTGCAGCAGACGAGGGAGGGAGAGGAGGGTGTTGCTATGCAACCGCTAATGTAACTTTAAGAAGGAGCGAAAACAGAAACCCAAGTCTGGCTGAACATCCGGCCTGATCCCAGTCCTTCTAGTGTTTAGAGTTAGCCTCTTTTCTGCAAAAGCTACGGCTGCTTTTCATATAAATATCCAGAATAACCAAGCAAATGCAAAGCATCAACTCTGACAGAGACGTGGCTAATGGTCAGTAAATTCTTCTGTACATTACCTCAGCAATAAACACAATAAAAATAAGATTTCTCTCAGTCGTCTCAGACGCTGACATGTAGCACATTAATCTTGCAAAGCCATTTAATTCTAATTCAATTATTTCTGTGATAACTGAACAAAATGCATCAAATAAAAAACATGAGCAACAAGCTTGGAAACGTTCAAACTGGGAAACAAGCCTTAGAGGCCTCGTCTCTTCTCTGTCTAACAAATCTTTGGATGTCATTAACTCAGAGAGGGGTCGCTCCTGTCAAATCTAGGAGGTGTGAAATGTGACTCCGAGGAAGCTTCATGAAATATTAAGAGGAGGAACTGGGTCCAGGCTACAGGCTCCCAGCCTTACTCCACAGGTCATCATTTCTGCTTGTCAAACCAACAACACTGAAATGAAACATGCTCACCTTTATTTATGCACCTGGACAAGAGCCCTGCATTTAGTTCACAAAAAGTTTCTATGTTCTTCCCAATATTACAATAAAATAAATGTCCCTTACATCACAAAGCTGCATTTTAATATATTTTCTTTTTTTAAATTCCCCTCAAACGTGGTCATTTTTTTAAACTATGCTATAATGAATGGGGGAGGTTACTTGTAGTTGCAGTTGGAAATAGGATTATTTTGTTTTTAGTTAAAGGCATAGTGGATGATGTTACTTTTTCGGGTGGATCATCCAAATAAGTGGTCCTCCTAATTGTCAATCATTCTGGTGATACGTTTAGATAAGACCGTCCTACGTGCTTCTCCCCATTTTAATTTAGCAGAGGTAAATTGCAAATCTTCTTTTGTAAGCTTCTATGAGCAAGCGTGCATGAGGAGAAATGGGCTCGTGCACGGTCTGACACGCGTTTAATAGGTGTTCCCTCTCTGGAGCGAGTACAGGGTTGTGCATGTGCATTTTTCTTAAAGTGGAGAGGGTGGGTTTTTCAAAAATTTGTGAAAACAGGGTAGGCAAGAATTGTTTAATGTTGGATTATTTGCTAAAAAATAAAGTGAAAGTGAAAATCCTCCGCTATACCTTTAATTTCTGCCAGGCTCCCCTGCAGCTACCCTGGGTCCCTCCTAGAGGGCGCACTCCGCACTTTAGAAATACCTGATTTAGAGTTTGGATCTGTACAAGCAAACCTGGAAATGAACAAGCTGGCCCAGTCACAGAACTGATGGTGAGACTTTACGATGCATGACGTTAGGTGCAAGAATTACCGATAATGCAGCAGCGCTTTTCTGCTAGCATAACAACAAATTGGCGACGGCATCGGAGCAATGTTGGAATGAAAATGAAGAACGTAGAAGAAAGCATAAAACCGGCAGAAACTGTTCATTGGAGAGTTTCTTTGACGGCTTGAAATGTTTTAAAGATCAACAAAATTACAAAAACAGAGAGTGTCGCTTGACGTTTTTGCATTACATGCTTAGTCATCTGATTGGTTCTAACGCTGACCCTGTTAGTCCCGCCTCTGAAATCAAGCTGTAGCGGTTCTTTAGCAGAATGATATGCTGATTATACATCATATCAGTGTAACTGGCCAGGCTGTGTAAAAAATGCAGATTAGCTGGGATGGTAGAGAACCCTTCCAATTTATGGGCAACCCTGTTGATTGTGATAAGAACAACAAAAAAATAAATATATAATTTTATCACAGGAACTAAAAAAAAATAATGTTTGTAAATTCAACAATATATAGTTTTTGGATGTTTTCCTTATAAAAAAGCATTAAATGTCCAAATGCTTTTGGGCTTGTTTGAAAAAAATGCAACGAAAAAAAAATATCTTTCGTCAGCAATAATACCAACTTTGATTTTCTTTGTTTAAAAATGAGGATTATTTTCAGTCAGCTTAAATAAATTGACTACACTCAGGTTTTGGAGAACCCAAGTTTGGATCATATTTACAGCCACTGGACAGATAAGGTTCAATTTATTACAAAATGAGAAACAATACAAGTGTTAGAGGGCAAATACTTTCTATCATACCTATAGTCTCCACTGTAGGATGATTCTGAACTATCAGTAATGATTTTTTACAAATCATCCAAATCTTAATTAATCTTCTGTAGGTCCTGTTAGGAATCCAGTTTGTGTGGGTTGTTTGTATGTCCTTTCTCTTTCCACCACCAGGTGTTGCCCTGTCCTTATTGGTCCTCCCTGGACACCTGCGGCTCGTTGGTTCATTACTGGAGGAGTACTTGAGCAGTGGGCTGTCACTACCTCGAGGCCAGAGTGTTTGCCAGTTTTGGGTACTCTAGCCAAGATGAGATAAGCTGAATCTAACCTGAGCCTTGTTTCCCTGAGTCTTATGTTGTTTTTTTTCTTTGCTCTTCGGTAGGAAGTCTTCCTGTGTAACTGGATTCCTGTACCTTCTCCCCTTGGAAGGACTTACTGAGTACACACTGAGCACGGGAAAACCTCCACATGATCCGTTCAAGTTACCATCGGAAATCCAAGTGACAATCCGCTCCATTACTCCTCGGGTCCAACGTATGTCTACCTGTCCGCTCTCCAACAAGTTCCCTCTTCTCTGGATAATCCCACACAGACTGGATTTAAGGATTGATAAGACCCCCCTCAAACGTGAGTCCCATTCCAGCATAATTCAAGCCGCAGTCTCATTTCCCACGGTCCCTGAACTGATCTCTGTGATCTCCCCTTCAGACTTTCCAGTTCCGGTTCACCAGTTCTCTGAGTTCCAGATCCAGCCTCCGTTCACATTGCCACAAATAAACCTGTTAAACTTTTCTCCGTGTTCTCTGAGTGGTTTCTCTGCATGTGGGTCAAATTCCTTAAACCGATCATGACAGGTCCCACCTGAGGGTAGCACAAAATTGAAAAAATGAGGCTTTGCAATAGTGAAGGGTCAAAGATCTGTTTCTCTCAATGCTCCAACGGTGTGAACTACAGGAGGAGAAGAATTTGGTCCAATAGGGGTAAAGGGAACTTTAATTACTGAGTTATAATTATCTGCATTTAATTAATTCACATGAATTGAAGGCAAAATAAATATAGTAATATGCTGCTCCTTTAGAACATGAATTTATTTCATGCTTTTTACTCATCTTTAAACCATTAGAAGTGGAAGGTTTTATAGATGCTTAAATCGGGTTACTCTTGGATATCTAATAAAGTCTCCACATTAAGGACATTAAATGTTCAAAGGATCCCAGGACTCGAATGATCAAACACTGTGGTTAATGTCTGAGCTCTGGCCTCTACAGGCTGATCTCCACTGCAAAAACGATCCAGAAATAAGTAAATGTATATTAAATTAAGTGAATTTAGCCGTAATTTGAGTAGGTAAATAAGATTATTTGCCAATGGAATGAGTATTTTTACTCTTAAAATAAGATAATTAGATAATATGCACTCAAAATAACACAAAGAAATAGTTTTTTCTTATTTTAAATGCAAAGTGTATTTTTCCATTAGCAAAGAGTCTCACTTACCTCCTCAATTCAATAAAAAATTCACTTATTTTAAGGGAGAATGACTAATTTAGATTTAGAAGCATTAAAAAGCATAAAAAACAGACCTCATGAAGCTGTTCAGTGGGGAAGAACATGTTGTGCAAAGAACTTTAATTTATGCAGGGTCAAAATTATACATACAGGTATAAATATATACCTGCAACTACAACTCGGTAATAAACTTATAAACTTATATACATGCATGCATTGACCAATTAATAAGTGCATTCAACGACCATGATTGAGATATTGTGAACTGCATGCATTGCCACTCACCATTTTCTATTTACTGTTTACATTTTATCTAATTTTCCAATAATTGTTTCTTTTTGCATGTTTGAACTGAGACTTTCATAATATTTGTAATCATTTTTATTGGGGCTGAAACAATTAATTGGATTAACGGTGATTAATCGATTATTTAAATAATCAAATTGAATTTAGTAATCGATTAATTATTAACTGGATGATAAAGGTTTTAAAACATGCATTCAGCTGGAAGAGCAACCCACTTAGAGTAGTAATGATACAAAATTGTAACAAAAAGAGATATAAATATTTTGCATTTAAGATAAAAACACTACACTCTATCCAGAATTCCTCAAGTAGAAATGTTTTAGTTTCACCTGGTTTATATCTGTAAAAATTCTTCTTTAAAGAACCTTTTGCTTTCTGATTATTAATCAATTAATAGCGAAACTAATAATACTCCCCGTGAATAAAGTAATACACAGATTTTTCAATGAGCACATTAATCGTTAGTTGCAGCCCTAATCTTTATCATGTGAATGAAGAAAGAATATTAGATCTAAGAATTGACCTAAAAACTTCAGGAGCACATATCAGGGATAGATTAGATGTCAAAATAACTGACCAGTTTCGGCATCAGCCTTAAAAAAACTGTATCAGTTGATCTCCCTTCTGTTACCTGACTCCCTTTGATGATTTGTTGACTTTAATCGCAAGCCAGGGTTAAAAAAGTTTGCTTTACCTCTACCGTACCATTTCCCCTGAGATGTCAAATATCCACACAGTTGGTGGCTATTGAGCAACTTTTTAAATGGCATTTAAGCAAATATTAGTGTATGAAGCTATAAATAGATGGTAAAGTACTGTAATGGAGGGTTTTAATTGTCTTACACTGGGGTGGTGCAGCAGTTGTTCTTGTCACATGATGTTCAGAGTGAAGCAGACCTGTTTGTCAGACCGCAGAGTGTAGTTAAACATTCATGTCCTTGTGTCAACAGAAGCAGAGAGGGGTAAAGCGATTACAACTGTTCAATGGCAGCACAAGGCTGGTCACCAGCAGCAAGCAAGGCTGCAAAAAATATTGCCTAAATATCAGCAATGCAATATTAAAGTGTCTAATATTCATGTCGGAATGGACTGTTTGGAGCGGTACTAGCTGGCTAATTTATTCAAAGTGTGTTTAAAATGCTAATATAATATTGAGTTAGCTAGACTGAGTCGCTTACAAATGACATTGATCAATACGCTAAAGGTCACAGAGAGAAAAACAGATTAGAAAGACAGAAAAGAGGGAAAATATGCATATATTGCAACTGATATCAGTAGTAACTAGGGCTGCAACTAACGATTATTTTAAAAATCGATGAATCGGCAGATTATTTATTCGATTAATCGATGAATCGGACAAAAAATATTTTTTATATTAACCTCTTTATTCCAAAATAAACATTTTAGACAGAACAAACAAGCACACAAGTACAGGTTCATTAACTGTACTGGTGCAATATGAAAAATAAATGTTTGCGTTAAAACTACGCAAACTTATGAGAAATGTAGCTGTACATCCACAAAATATAGGCTACTTTGTTTCATAAAGCGCATAAAAATACATTTTCCTTCTTAAAAGCCCCTAAGGGGTTCAAACAATAGGCCCCCCCATTTAAACAAATGAGGTTTTTTTAGACTAGAAGAGTTCTGCCTTTTAAGACAGGAAAGTATAGCAGTTAAAGTTGCTACTTGAGAAAATACTGAACCATAGAGATAAAAATAGCCCTGTGATTCAAAATATAAATTGTATTTGGAAAAAAAATGAGAGAACTAGGGGTGCTAAAAAACACATCCTCCAAAGACAGATATTTACATGGGAATGTGGCAAATATAATTAATTGACATATTACTGATCTTGCTGGATTTTATTCTGCTTTACTTCTATAAATTGCAGGATCTTCTTTACTTTATTTTTGCCAGAAGATTTAAACTTTAAAAGACTTGCCTTCATAATTTGCAAGTTAATTTATTTATAAAGTAAATATAAACACTGCTTAAGCTAATTCAAATGAAATTAAAAGTAAAATAAGTAGCCAACCTTATCACTGTCTGTAACCTACTAACACAGTAAGGAAAGCATCAGATGAGCTACCTGAGAAACTAACGTAACGTTTCTCCACTTTAAAACCAAACAAACATGGTGGTTCCGTGCCATGTTAATTTGTTTTGACAAAAGTTGCATGTTTGACTTATTTCGCTTTACAAAGCGCAGGCTATTTTAATTGATCAATTTGCGCCGTCAATCCCGGTGTATGCGCGCTTCATTTGCAGTCTGGACGCTGAGGGTAAACATCCTGCGGCTCTGACTGCAGCGCTGAGAGGGACTCCTGCGGTAGAACGGGGTTGGGATGGGGGAGGCGCCCCACGGCAGAGTAGGAACGATACATGCTTTCGCGTAAGAGTCTCCAAAAGCCGCCAGTGACACCGTAAAAAGTCGGCAGATTTGTCGCTAGTCGCTTTTTTGAAAAATAGTCGCTGGAGGGGTCTGAAAAGTCGCTGAGTTGGCAACACTGCACATGCGACGCTGACTCGCTCTGCCGTATTTTTTTTTCTTCCCCCGTTTCAGTCAAGTGGATGTGATGACGGCGGCGGCGGATGACGCATTAATTGCGCGACACAACTAATCGATGATGAAATTCGTTGCCAGCGCATTTAAAAGTCGATTTTTATCGATTTTATCGATTTGTTGTTGCAGCCCTAGTAGTAACCAACATTTTCACAACTGCAAGATGTTCTGATATGGCTGGAGTTTTAGCAAATTACGCCAAAGGTTTAACAGGTTATAGTTTCTATCTACCACAACTTTCTATCAAACCGTTCCCTACTCTAAGGGTCATCCTAATATCAAATAAAGTAATGTTATCCCACCCTCGCCTATTGCTGGACACTGTGTGACAGTTTGCTTCAACAAAGCTGCAAGATCTTTCCATTTTACAGAGTTAGAGTCTCCTGGGATACTTTCAGAAAATCTATAAAATGAGGCAAAAATTAAGTGTGAAGTGTCGACTGCTGGGCTGCTGACTGGACCGGACCTCAGCAGAGAGCCATGAGCCGCCCGTCCTCAGCCGGTGCACTTTAGTCGACTAAAATACCGGACGAATTTGAAATTCCCCCCGGACATTTTTTAGGTATGAAACGTAGGACATGTCCGGGGAAAAGAAGGACGTCTGGTCACCCTACCTTATCATCAATTTCATGTTTCTGTGAGTGAGTGCTTGTTGCTATGATGCATCTTTTCTCAGCAGCTTTGCTCGTTGTAAACCAACCAATCAGTGCACAGCTCATCTAAATATCCATCAGCATACCATAAAAGGAAGAAAACCTATTGTTTCATTCTAGGGCTTTTAACCAGGCTTGCATTAGGGCTCATAGAACAGCAAATATGCCATTTTCAGCCCAACAAATGTTACACACCCTATTCAGAGACCTTAAGGACCAAATACCCTATAGAATCATTCTATCAATCCCTTTAAAGGTATAGAGAAGGATTTTCACGAACTTTTTAAAAGATACGCACTCTCCACTTAAATAAAATGCACCTGCACATCCCTGTCCCCGCTATCAAGAGGGAATGCATATTAAACCAAGAGGAAATGCGAGACCGCGCACAAGCACATTTCTCCTCGTGCACGCTCTGTTTAAAAGTTTCTGTTTGCTTCGCTCACACAAGCTTACTTTTCAAAAGAAGATTTGCAATTTTTCCACAATAAGGGGGACCATTTATTGGGATGATCCACCTGGAAAAAGAAGATCCTCCACTGTACC